CATCTATTACATCTATTACATCTATTATTTTTATAAAGCCTTCAAAAATATGTGCCAATTTATTTCCCATCAATAGTATCTGAGAGTACACATTCCCTCACTCCTTAATTAATTGTTGATATTATCAAATTTGTTCATATGCTATGAATGCAATTTAATATGACAGATCTGATTCAAGTTTTCTATTTACCATGTTTTCTTTGTTGTTTTCCTATCATTATTTGTTTTACTTAGGTTGAATCAGTTTTCTTTATACTATATTCAATCTAATAATAGAATGTATCCATCTTATTTCTATTCCTCTAATAGTTAAAACTCCTCAAGTTTTAACACTTCATTCACATTTTCTACCAATTCTGGAATTAATTAGTTTCTATATCCTACCATCAAATTAGACAAAGATCTGAGCATGCCTATATCTTCCTCCCTTCCTTCTCTTACCACTCCCCATCTTGTCTGTTAAATCATTAGGAAATTTGGCTCAAATTATTATTTCTTATCCACAATTATTTAGACTTTTATTTGTTCCTTTGCTCACTCTTGCCCTTAAGTTCTCTTGTTCTTCATCCAGAAAGATATGACTTGTGATTAATAAAATTTCTGAGTCTCTCCCTGCCATAAAAATATATTCATATTCCCTCCTACTTGAATCATGTATCATTTAAGCATAAAATTCTAATACATAATAACTTTCCATCTCACAACTTGGAGGTGCTTCCTTATCTTCCTTCCATGTTGCTGATGAAAAGTCTGATGTCAATGTTTTGTTCTTCTGTACCTAATTGTTATTATTTATAGAAACTTTGAAAATATGCTCTATGTTTCATCACACAATTTTGATGGTAGTGCTTTCTTGTCCTTTATAATTTGTACTTAAGGAGACCTTTCTATCTAAGGACTCTTGTCTCTGTTCAGCACTGAAATTTTTTCTTTAATTCTTTAATTTGATATTGCTTTTCCACTCCCACTCCTCCATTCTCACTCTCTCTTCTGCCACTTCCACTAGATGGCTGCTGGAACTTCTTGATCTATCTTCTCCATCTCTTTCACATTTTGGGCTGCACCTTGGGCATATTTCCTTCTCACTAGAGAATCTTTCCTGTGTCCATTTTGATGTTCAACCCATCTGTTAAGGTCTTGCTTTTTATTCCAACAATACCTTTTTATTTTCTACTATCTCAAGCTGGTTCCTACTATGTAATAGTGTTACAGGGTGCAGCCAAGAGGGGGGACCCCAAATGGGCATTTAGAATGGGGTCCAAAACTCAAGGTGTCCAGGGGATTTTTGTATGTCCTCACTCCCACTCCCCAGGTGTGGGTTGGGGGAAAGGACAAATGGAGCAGGGCCATTGAGAGCTGTTTTGCATAGCAATAGCCTTGCAGCTAACCTCTGGTGTGGTCATTTAACATATCTATAGCCTTTGGCTGGTCGCTTAGATATGTTAAGTGGCTGTGGCCATGCTCAGAGCCAAGGGAATGGAAGTAACTTCCCCACCAAGACATAACTGGGGGGCAGGTTCCCCGAGTTACAGCGCCTACGTGGGAGCTTGGAGAAGACTGGCTCCAGGACTTGGGGCCACACCTGCCCAGACTCATGATGGCAGTCCAGTAAAGCTGGAAGGGTATGAGTTCTGGCACGTGAAGCTGAGTGTGGGAGAAGTTGGAAATGGGGCTGCAGAGGAAGATTGGCACAGGGATTTAAACCGAGATGCAGTAGCTATTGGAGAGAGAGAACCATGTGCAGCCCTGAGAGAGAGAACCCGCGGCTGTGGAAGTGCAGAGAAGATCACAGCTATTGGAGGGAGAGAACCACACAGCTTTAGCAGAGTGAAGACTCCTGCAGCCCTGAGAGAGGGAGAACCACGCACCCTTGACAGAGTGGAGACTCCCGTGGCCCTGGAAGAGAGGACCACATGCCTTTGCCAGAGTGGGGACCCCCGCAGCTTTAGAAGGGGGAACCACCACCTGGTTTTAGCAGAGATCCCAGCGACTCAGCTGAGGGTGCCGGGAACCGAGGGAGGTCTCCCAGTAGAGATGGAGTACTAACTGGGAAGAACCAGAGGACTGCCTGAGCCATGGACTTCTATTTCCTTTCCTGAGATATGGTACTCTGGACTGGGCAAAGGGGGGAAGGAAGGACTGTGTCTGTTTGTGGGTGTTTTAAGGGACTTTGGGATTTTCGATAAAGACATTAGGTCACTACTTTAAGTTTGTATAGCATTAAATAAACATTTCCTTTCCTTTTCACAAATCTCTGGCATTGAGAGACATCTTTCCTCTGGTGGCGGACATAATGGACCTGGGAGCTTCTTTCAATAATAGTATATCGTCCCAGGCCCCCCCTTGTTTGTTCTGTAACAATAGTTTCTCATATTTCTCTGAGTGTATTAATTACACTTATTCTAAAGTCTTCATTCTAATTAATTTACCAACTCATTTCTTTGGGAGTTGGATCTTCTGGTGATTACAGTTGGTGCCTCTTTTTCATAGTATCGCTTTTTTCCCTCAACAATTAGCTTTTTCTTATTGTTTGCTTAACTTTGTACTTCTGATTATCTACTAGCCTTTATATGAATGTCATAAATATCTATCACAGCCAACTCAGTGCCCCTGAGATAGAGACAGGATGTATTGTCAGGAAGCAAGTCCCAGGGGCTAGATATCTGGACCTGTCTGTTTCTCATTCTTCCTGGATGTTACCAGCCACATGAAATGCTGCCTTGCCCCTTGGGCCCAAATATTCCCTCATATGTTCCTACCAAAGTAAAACACTGAAAATGATTCTTGCTTGATGTGGCATTTTCTCAGGCTGCCAGTTTAATCCAAATCCTAGAGGGGAGTCACCAATTGTCTTTATACACACCTGTTTACCTCCTGTTGTCACAGGAGGGGACACAAAACTGAAAGCAAGTGAAAGGTAGAGACTGTGAGTTTAACTGTAAAATAATTAAGGAAAATCAGAGAATGCCATGAGGGCAATCAAAAACAATGAAGGTGGTTGTTTTAAAATATCCAGTCTTAAAAAAGAAGAGATGATTTGGAAATGAAAGGAGAAACAGGGAAACTGAAAAGAAAGGATTAATTCTCCTCCCTTACCTTACGAGTCTTAAAATGCAAATGGTAGGATTCCTGTGAAGAGAAAAGATTTAGTTATATCCAGGAATTCCAGGAATGTTGGGAAAGGAAAAGTGGGAAGGGTGTTCCCAGAAGTAGTAGACACAGAATGTGGTCAGCAGAGAAACAAACTTGGGCAAAAAGAAGCAGATTGGGAAGGAAAGAAGGAAGAGGGAAATGGTATATGGATTTCTCTGATGCAGGACTCTGCAAAGGCAGGAAAAAAATCACACACTAGAATGAAGAAGGTAGAAGAGAGAAATAAAACATGGGTTGTGTCTGCAAATGAAAGAGACAGAACTAGTCCCAAAATTCTAGGTGAAGACTTTCTGTTATGCTCCAACCTCCGCAGGCTTTCTCCTAGATACTAGCTTTTATGAAGATCAAACTTTGTGGCCTGAGGGAGGAAAAGGGTCAGGGAAGATGTAGGTGAGTGAGAAAGCCAGAAAACAAGACAATTTAGGACAATAAAAAAATCTCCCACAAACATTAAATGAGGAGGGAGGTTATATTTTTGGCATGGAAGTCAATATATCCCTTTCTGCAAGGTACAATTTATTATAATCCCTAGAACCCTAGGAGGCTTAGATAGCTGGTCTTATGGAAATCCTACCATTTGCATTTCTAAGACTCTTAAGGTAAGGGAAGGAGAATTACTCCATTCTTTTCAGATCCTGGTATACTGTTCCTGAAGACGAAAGATTTTTAACAGTAAGAGGAATAACAGATAACACTCTGAAGAGATGAGAGAATCAAAGCTTTACTGACCAGCTTCATGTTGTTACTGAGTGTGCTGATAGTACTGACAGTTGTGTTGTGGTATCACTGTGTGTGCCGATACAAGAGCTTAAAGGAAACATCTTCTGTGAACAAAGGAATAAACACTGGGGCTTTGAGTGTCCTTCTTTCTGTAAGGACACAGTCTTGACTGTTTCTTAAATTTGCAGTTCTCACAAATTTCAGATTTTAAAACTTCTCTGTTTTGCATTTATGTTATTTGTATGTGTTCAGATTTTTTTTAAATAGATTTATTTGGTACAAAGGCCAAGATGCCACAGAGAAGTTAGGGGCTTCCATTTTGGGTAGGTAACTTGTAAAAGTTGACAGAAAAGTCTCATATTCCTAAGTGGTCATAGATAGCACCAGCCAATCCACAGCTGTTTCTTACACATTAACCATGTGCCACAAACTTGGCCAGGGAAGAGGACTTGCACATAATCCCTGCTACATCATCTACCAGGTGTAGAAGTAAAGATTTAGTGTTCACCTCCTATCAATACAAAACAGTAGTGAGAGAATGAAGAATCACCAATGCCCCAATGGATGGCACCCTAAATGAGTGACTTCCTGACTGGACTACCAAATTATCTTTCCTTTCCCCTTTTTCTCTAGCCCATGGTTATGACCACTCATTTACACTTGGAAAATAAGAGAAAGAAAAAAATGTTTTAGCATATTCTCATGGGTTGTTTGCAAGCATATAGTAAAGTCTATTCTTGCAAACATGGACAACTTTGATATCCAATCCTATTGTAGAAAGTGGTAACTTGTACTAAGAAGCAAGTGATGTTTGCAGATGTAAACCTTAGACACCAACCACTTAGCTAGCCTGACAGATTCTGAGAAACAGTGAATTGATATGAGTGTAATGGGGCATGTAATATTGCTCAATCAAGATTATGCTTCTGCAGTTGACTCCCACATCTTACAAAGGTCTTTGCAAGAAATTACATTCAGAAACATCATACGGACATGGTTGAATGCTTCAAGTCTTAGTTAACGAATAACCTCCTTTTAAATTGGCTTTTGTGCTGGTGTCACAAGGCTTTCTATTTTGATTCTCTTGAGTCTCTTTAAAATTTCAGGAAGAAACTCTGAATCTCAAAATGCCTATGAGTAAGAATAAGCTGATTTTACTCCTTGGAATGATCTGTTTGGAACAAGATAAATCTGCAACTATTTCTCTTTCCAAAGGTAAGTTCCAAACAAGCTCTATAATTATCTTTGTATGAAGGAATAACCTTTGCTGGCTCTGAGCATCATCACTCCAGTCCTTACTTCTTTGGGAAAACTGGAGAAGCAAACATATTGTGGAGACTTAATTGTTTTTCATGTAATTATTTTGGACTTTCCTCCTGAAATCAGCATATAAAACTGGGAAAGACGTTTGTAGAATACAATTTGTACAAGTTGCATTGATCTGGAAAAAAACTGGGATTGTTCACTTAGTTGAACATATTGCACAGACCCATCCTCATTCATGGAACAAATGCAGGAAATAGCACAAATTCGGAAGCATTTGTAATATTTTGGAAAACTGCCATGCTGGGAAATATGAAACATGTTCACTGTAGTATATTATAAATGGTCTTTTTGCCTCCAGTGAAAGCTGAGAACAGTTCTCTGCAGGCTTCTCCACAGTCAGATCTGTGCCAGCCCTGGAAATCATCATGTTTTCTGTGTTTGCTCCAATGAGTTCAAAAAATAGTATATTTTACATCTGAAGTATTTATGATTCATTCAGCTGAAACAGAAAATCAGCTTTTGATCCTAATGTCATGGCTGCATTGGGTTCAGAATCAAAAGGCTAGTGTTGCATCCATGCTTTGCCATGAATTAGTCATGCATGTCTTTGATTCTTTGTTTTCTCATCTTCAGGGTGGGGGTAATAGTGCTTGATTCACAGGCACAGGATGGGAGAGGGGCTAAAGGAGATGTTATTTGAAAGAGTTTTGTATATTTTAACATATTAATCTAAACAGCCATGCTCTCAAGGGTATGTTCTCAAGGAAAACTTTTGGTTCATCCACTCAACTTTTCTAAATGTCCACTCAATGCTAGTAATTGTGCCAACCCTTGGAAATACAGAGATGAATAAAGATGTAGGGTTTTTTTCCTCAAGTAGTTCACAGTCCAATGAGGAAGACAGACAAGCAATTCTCTATCACAATATTACATGGCAAAATTATAAAATCAGAGAGGAAAAAAGAGTACTACACAGGAAAGAAGAGAGACACTTAATGCACATCTTGAGGAAATCAAGGAAGACTTCTCAGTCGAGGTGATCTCCAAGCAAATAACAAGGATCAGAGGACTCAGTTAGGCAAAAAAAGTAGGGTGATTATGAACCAGGGAGTTCTAGGCCTTCCTAGAAAACATGTAGAAGCAAACGATCTGCAGTAGGGACAGAAGACAGTGAATTACCAGGCAGTTGCAAACATCTTTAATCCTACCCATTTCTTAGTTGAGGAGATTGAGGATAAATTTGAGGATAAATAAGTAAATGCAACTTTTTCAGGGACAAAGTCTTTTCCACAAAGACAAAAAAGTTCTTTCTTCTATTAACTGAAAACTCATCTATCCTAACACAAGCCTGGTGTGTGTGTGTGAATCAGGACACAGTCTTCTCTTCACTTCACTCTCCTTGAATAATCTGCTACTTTCTACCCTCAGAGAGAATTAAATCCAATATCTGACTGTATATCAGGTGCCACAGAACATGATCTCAGCCTCAGCCCCCTGAGGGGAGCAGAGGAGATGATGTACACACAATTACAATTTCAGGCAGATTATGGCATCATCCACTCAATGGACTAACTGAGAAACTTCTATGCCTCAGAAACTGTTAGATATTGTGGATATAGGTATTTCTAAGATTAAGTTCCTACCTTTGAGGAACCCACTGTCTAGTCAGGTTCAAAGACATAGAAATAACCATAATGCATACAATTAATGTTATAGAAGTATAGAGTGCTGTGAGGAAACTCGAAGGGTCCAGATTGCTCAGAAGAAAAGGGGGCTGCACCCCTGCTAACCTAGTGGAGATCTACCTCTTGGCTCTAAATCTTCATATCATGATATGCATGTTCTATGTGACAAAAGCTGAATAATCCTTTGTACTGCCAATGACAGCAAATCCCACAATTAACTTAAAACCATTTTGTAATCTTTCTACATAATCCATGTCCTACAGTCTTTTCTTGCTCAGAAGAGTTCCCTGTATCTCTCAGTGTTAGAAGCTATCTAATTGCTAATTTTACTTATTCTTTTCTTTTCTCCAGCTCCCACTTGTGGGCAGAGTTTGGTAAAGACACAGCCTTGGAATTACCTTAACATTTTCAGTCGCATTGTTGGGGGAAGCCAAGTAGTAAAGGGCTCTTACCCATGGCAGGTAAGACTCAGATAACATTCTCTGATGGGTAAACTATAAGCTGTCTTGGGATTGGATCTCTTAGAATCACATGCCACTCATCAGTGTGCTCCATTCTGCCTAGCTCATCACCAGAGATCTCATGAGTGTGTGTAGGGATTCAAGTCCCTCATGGTGTGGACAAGTTAAGGTCCAGAAAAAGTGTGCCCAGAATAGTTACATGCATATTGCCTTGTTCCAAAAATTGAAAATGTCATCCCAAACTTTCAACCCCTAAGACAAAAATCCCACTTCAAGAAGATAAAAAATGTTTAAATTTATAATTAAAAAGTAATGTGCTGATTCGATACATATATTAAAAATATATTTATAGTTAAAGATGACCAGGGAGGTTAAAGGTATCATTTCCATAGGTCTACTTTATGCCTGAAGTATAAGATTTGTACCTATACCATAGGACCTCTCAGGAAATAATCAAGGCTACTGCCTTCTTAATAGCTAATATCCTGAGAATTCTGTCTCAGTCTAATTTCTTTATCCTCCCATGCCATAGAAATGTCTCTGTGCTTCTGTCCCTAGCCAATTGTGTTTACATTTATTGTCTTTGAATATCTTCCAACTTTCTTTACCCTTGGAGTCATACTGTATTCTTGCCATTTAATTATGTAAGAAGAGTGAAAGCTCTTTATTTTTACTTCTCTTGAGTCAGTCATATTAACTTTTAGGTGAGTAGATATTTGGTAATGGTTGGTTGACTGAGTTTGTATTCACTGGGTTGATGAATTAATTACTTGGTTAAAGAGTTGGTTGATCAGTTAGTTCCTTACTTGGTCAGTTGGTTGGCTAGTAAATTTAGAAGTTCCTATTGAAGTCATAGTCAGGGAGGAATCACTGACTTTTTTACTTATTTGCTCTTCATTCTGTTCTTAGCCTTTTCTCTGCATCAAATATTTTTTCAATCACTCATTGAATAATTTTTGGTCAAAAAGAGAACAATTCTAATAAATCACTTACTTTCTTATTCCAACAATGAAATTAAAAGTATTACCTGTATTCTGTAAGTAATTTTAGAGTCAAATCAAATATCATGAACAGGATAAACCAAAGATAGAGGCAAGGTACCAAAAAAATGGCTGAAAGAAGCTGTAGAGGTCAAATAGTTAAGAGTACCAGAAGAGTGTAGGTCCAGATTATTTTTCTAAGAGGCTTGGGGGGACTGGGGCATGTGTTGAAGGCCTCCCTTAGCTCTCTCACCTTGCTGTTCTCTCAAACCTGTTCATTTGGACTCTGCTATATCTTACAATTCTTTTTCTTTCTCTTCATTCATAGGTATTATTTACATTGTTACAGTAACAGTATGAATCAACACTATTATAAAAATAAATTCACACCAACAACTCACACAAAATAAATACTTACAGTCAATTATCTGAAATTAGCCACCTCTCCTGTGAACCAGGGTCGAGAAGCTGTGGTTCCAGCACTGCTCTTTTTTTCTGAGCTGTAGGGAAATGGGTTTAACACCTTCACAGGCCGTGATTTCTAGTATCTGTGAAGAAGACATCTGGGCCTGTTTTTCAGAATATGTCCAGTCTTCAGGTTTTGGGGGACCCCATGGCATTGACTCGCTCTTATTTAAGGTCTTTGCATCTCAGGTGTCTCTGAAACGAAGGCAGAAGCATATCTGTGGAGGAACCATCATATCCCCACAGTGGGTGGTTACAGCTGCTCACTGTGTTGCAAACAGGTAGGGGAAAGCCCAGCACCTGGACACAGGTCAGATCACCCTTCTTTTCCCTCAGAATCTGCAGCAAGAACTCTTGAAACGGGAACTGTGTGATGTATGCTTTGGCGAGAGAACATCTTAATTGTTTAACCCAAGTAGGGCCTAGTGATGTTGTCAGAGGGCACTCGACTTGGTAGAAAACATGCATCTCTTGAGGAAGTAGAATAGTTACATTTGAGTGGAAGTTAATAAAGATTAATATCCAAATGAGAAAAAAGTATCACAAAGATAATATTTGTGAAAATTCTCTCCTAGTTTCCCTAAATTTCAGTGAAAAAAATCATGCAGTTCACTAATGCATCTTAAGAACTGGATGAAAGAGAACAAAAGGAGGCCAGTAAAACATAAAGAAGGTTCCCATATCTTCTTTCAGGATTGATCCTGCCTCTATGAGCTCCAATCTACCAACTTCCATCATTTATCCCCTTTCCTGTGTGTGTTCAAATGTTCTGTTGTTGCCAGTGCTCTTGCAATCAAGATCATGTTCCCATATTTGCCCTATTTCAAATCTACAAACATCAGCTGGATATTAATTTGGTGCTGGGCACTAGTGGGTACCAAGGAAACAAAGATGAGTGAAACCTAATTCCTGCCCAAAGAGAGTTGACAGTTTAAAGAAGAATCAACTGATAATTCCACTGTGATGTGGCAGGTTGTTAGACTAGCAAGTTGCTAAGCATTAAGTTAGGTACTTAATATAGCCAAGAGCTAGGAAAGTACACCAAGAGAAAATTATGCCCTTCCCATTTTTTTTTAATAAACTCATCACTTTGGAGAATGAAAAGTCTCAAAATGTGGCAAGCCCAAAGATCTTAATCCATCTCAATTCATCCCATCTAGTTCTTTCAGGTAACTTTGCTTCAGGAAGGGGAACAGAATGGTCTTTCCCATGTCATGCCAGGTCTCTAAATTACAAACATAAAGGAGGCAAGGAGAAAATCCCTACCTCCCACTGCTATAGTCAGTCCCAAAGCCCTGAGAGTGCATGCTCTCTGGGATGTGAGAGTTATGGTACTATTACGCCCTTTACAATATACTCATCCATTATGCATTAGATCTCTCACAGTAAAAAGCAACATACTTAGTGGGGATCACAAATCATTTGCTGATAGTGAGGCCAGGCCAACCACCTAGGGTAGCTAAATAAAGTCTACTCTAGCTTTAGACCCCTGAATTAATATGTATGCATGCATGTATGTATGCATGTATGTATATTAAAGATATATATGTATCTTTAGACATTTTACAAATAACATTGCAAAGTATTCTATTTTTTATGTCATTAACCCCACAAACCACTCTTTACTACTCCCCTACTCACACTGAGAACTTCTGCATTTTTATTAAGAGTGTTAGAATTATTCTTACTTTCTCTGTTCAGCAGCCATGACCCCAGTTATCCATCCATGCCACTCTGAGGAGGCCCATTTGTCAACCATTACAACTGTACTCAGAGGCTCAATGAAATCAATTCATTTCACTGCTTCCTCTTCACAGAAACAGTGCATCAGCTTTGAACATTACTGCTGGAAAACACGACTTGAGCCATACAGAGCCAGGAGAGCAAACCCTCACCATTGAAAGCATCATCATACACCCATATTTCTCCACCAAGAAACCAATGGACTATGATATTGCTCTTCTGAAGATGGCTGGCACCTTCCATTTTGGTAAACATTTCAGGCTTACTCTGAATTATCTATCCCATGTTCTCCATAAATTTGTTGTATGGCACATTCCTTACAGCATATGTTATGCCTGACAATCCAGGGTCAAGGACATCGAGACACAGATTTGAGGTGGAGGGTCCCCTATTTGAAATGCTTTTGCTTGTAGCTTCAGATACGGGATTATGTAGAGTCAGGAGAGGGTCTGTCTTTGTCTGACAAGCAACACCTGAGTATCAGGCAAAACTATCACAACTCTTCCAAGATCATGAGGGAACCACATAGATGTCGGCTGATGAAGGGCTTCTGGTGTCCTCCCCTCCATGCCCTACCTTGCTCTTTATTTCAGGCCAGTTTGTGGGACCCATGTGTCTTCCGGAGCCAGGAGAATGGTTTAAGCCTGGACTGATTTGTACAACTGCAGGCTGGGGACGCCTGACTGAAGGTAAGGATTTCTATGCCCCTACCCTTAATCAGATGTCTGGACTTTCTGTTAGTTAATCAGAAAATAGAAATTTTAATCTGTTTTTTTTTTAAAAAAACAATGGTGTAAACATTTTTAAAAACAGAGAACAACAAGATGTATTTAGAAATTCAGGTCTTTCCAGAAGGCACAAGCCTGAACAAGGCAGGCACCTTCAACTCAGAAAGGGTGGACGACTGCCCTGCTGGGGGTCTCATCTCTGTGTTTTCTAGATGGCATCCTCTCACAAGTCTTGCAGGAAGTGAACCTGCCCATTCTAACCCAGGAGGAGTGTGCAGCAGCTCTGTTAACCCTAAAGAAACCCATCAGTGGGCGGACCTTTCTCTGCACAGGCTTCGCAGATGGAGGGAGAGATGCATGTCAGGTAGGTGGGAGCAGCTGAGCTGATGGGTCCCAGGCAGGGCTTCCCTCAGTGTTGTAGGACTGGACTTGGAAGACAGGTCAAGAGTGACAGGAGAGGTTGAGTCAAAGTAGAGGGACAGTTTAAACCACCTGTTTATACCAGGGAGGGTAAATTCAGAGGAGGTCTTCCACTTTTTGCAAATGACTAAATAACAGATAACGCCAATAACATCTCTCAAGAATGGCTGGCTCTTTCCTATTTAGAGACTTCTAGTTCATATATAAGGGGAAATTTACTTTCCCTCCATCCTTCCTGCTGACCAAAACCTGAGCTCAATTTTGCTATGGGGCAAGACTTCTCTGAGCCTGTGAGATGAGACAGGAAAAGGAAGAAAGCCTGATGCTTGATGAAAGTCTAGGATGGGAAAGAAGGAAATGGAGCTGATAGGCTCCACTAATAGATGAGGATCTAATGCGAATTGTGCTTCCAGGCCTCAGTCCAAACTATTAGAAGTAAAGAAATGTTATTGATCCTCATCGAGCATGTGTATGGGTGAAAAGAGTGAGCACTTTGGGGCTCAGTATCTGATGAGTTACCAGTGATGGTAACAGGCTTTTTCTGCCTACAGGGAGATTCAGGAGGTGCCCTCATGTGTCGGAACAAGAAAGGAACTTGGACTCTCGCTGGTGTGACTTCTTGGGGTCTGGGCTGTGGTCGAGGCTGGAGAAACAATGAGCAGAGAGATGATCAAGGATCCCCTGGGATCTTCACAGACCTTAGCAAAGTGCTTCCCTGGATCCAAAAACACATCCAAATTGGTAATGAAGCTAGCATGTCAGGTCAAGAAGTCAGGGCCAGAAAGAGCATCCACAGAGTCTAAGCCAGTTGGGACCACTGAGCAGACAGGTTCTGCTTCTATTCTTAGAGTAGCACATAAGTATTGTGACATATCCTTAAGCTAAAACAAGAGCAAAATGTGATATGTGGTATGGCATACAAACATGTATTTGCCACTTCTCAACTAGCAAGATTCAGCAAGCAATAGTATAGATTGGTGGTTATCAACCACAGGAAATATTGTCCCCAGGGACAATGTCTAGAGACAATTTGGGTTGTTACAACTGGGAGTGGGGATTTAATACTAGCATCTAGTGGGTAGAGGCCATGAATGCTGCTAAGCCTCCTACAATGCACATGACAGCCCCCATGATAGAGAACAATGCAGCCCAAATGTTAGCAAATGCCATAGTTGAGAAGGCCTGGTCCAGATCCAGGTACCATAAGTCTGAAAAAAGCTGGGTCTACATGTACCCTTCTGCTAGACTGACCAGGGGGTTAACTGAAACTTCATTTATGCCTCCAAATCAAACTTCATTGTTTTCTTAACTGGTGGCTTCCAGACCCAGTAGGGCTTCTATTTTTCTAAAGGGATTATTTCAAATTAGTTTAGTATGACTTGGGTTTGTTTTCAAGGATATGGTCCAGTGGCAGGTACCTGAGCCCTCAGTTCAAGCTGTAGCTATCCTAGCAATTCTTCTGTGGCTATAGGTGAAGCACTTCCATCTCCAGTTTCCCTTCTCATGTAAAATGAGAGAAGTAGACCAGATGACCTCTTCTAGCTCTGTGCAACCTCCATGCTGGTCATGGCCTGTCATTTAATTTACCTATTTAATAAAGAGAGTGAAGTCATGTCCTTAAAACAAAAGACCAATTTTGCTTTGTCAATGTATTCCTTCTGTTCTTTCCACAGATTAGATTTTAATTAGTTGCATATTGACTAGAAAAATCTCTACACTTTTAAGCCAGGGAGATGCTAACTTCTTGAAATATTATTTAGAATACCACAAACCTTGAATTGCATCTTTCTTTTTCTCTCCCAGGGAAGTGGAGAAAGAGCTCCAGAGGTGAGTATTTCTCCAGCCTGCTCCCCTAGAAACATGACTTAATATCTAGCATTTCTGAATATCAGTTCCCCTCATAATCAAAAGTCTTCCTCTGCAGGAGCTGTCCTCGCTCACTAGGTATAAAACCACCGCTTGGAAAACCCACAGCCATTCCATGCAGTCAGCACAGTCCCTCACCCAGGTGGAGCCCCAGATCCCCTCCCATTTCACATCTTGTCAATACAGAGCCCCATCTCAATTCAGCAAACATTCGCCACCTTGCTTTGGATCAGAGGCTTGAGGGAGAAGGTTGAGGCTACAGGTGGCAATAAGCTACATACCTTGGCCTGAAAGTGTCCTTATGTATCCAGGGGACTCAGCCTGGTGTTACATTGCATGGCTGCAATGAATTCACTCTATGACTTTGGGTAGCTCCTTCCTACCTCTGGACCTCAGTTTCCTCATTCATAAAGGAAAAAGTTTGAACCAAATGGTTTCCAAGGTATCTTTAGCTCAAATCTGCAGTGGTTCTGTGAGTCTGTGGAACTATCTACAAGAAGCAATGTGAGAAAGAATACCCAGAGAGCTCAGAGCAGGAAGAACAGGGAAGGCTTTGGAGCACAGAACATCTTCTAAATTGAACCTTAAAGGACAAAGAAGAAGTAGACATTTGTCAGGTGGAAGTGGGATACAGGTAAAGAAAAATACGTATTCTAGTTGTTATCCTGGATGGATACTAAAAGATGGAGATAGAAAGATGGAGGTTGTAATGGAGACCAGTGAATCAAAGCAGCTGAAGTGTAGGATATATGATGGGGTCTTACTAGAAACACAACTTGAGACCAAATGTTTTAAAAATTCATTTTACTGATTATGATATTAGAGTTGTCCCATTTTTTTGCCCCTTTATTTCCTTCTGCCCTGTATGCCCCCTCCCACCAGCATTCCCCAAACTTAGTTCATGTCCATGGGTTGTACATATAAGTTCTTTGGCTTCCCCATTTCCTTTATTCTTCTTAACCTCCTTGTCTATTCTGTCTCCATTTATGCTTCTTATTCCCTGTACCTTTTCTCCCATTCTGCCCGCCCCCACTGATAACCCTCCATGTGACCTCTATTTCTGTGAATCTGTTCCTGTTCCAGTTGTTTGCTTAGTTTGTTTTTGTTTTTTTTTTAAGTTCAGTTGTTGATAGTTGTGAGTTTGTTGTCATTTTACTGTTCATATTTTTGATCTTCTTTTTCTTAGATAAGTCCCTTTAACATTTCATATAATAAGGGCTTGGTGATGGTCAACTCCTTTAATTTGACCTTATTTGGGAAGCACTTGATCTGCCCTTCCATTCTAAATGAAAGCTTTGCTGGATAGAGTAATCTTGGATGTAGGGCCTTACCTTTCATGACTTTGAATACTTCTTTCCAGCCCCTTCTTGCCTGCAAGGTTTCTTTTGAGAAATCAGCTGACAGTTTTATGGGAACTCCTTTGTAGGTAACCCTGCTTTTCCCTTGCTGCTTTTAAGATTCTCTGCCTATCTTTAATCTTGGATAATGTAATTATGATGTGCCTTGGTGTGTTCCTCCTTGGGTTCAACTTTTTGGGGACTCTCTGAGCTTCCAGGACGTCCCAGAAGTCTATTTCCTTCACCAGATTGGGGAAGTTCTCCTTCATTATTTTTTCAAGTAAGTTTTCAATTTCTTGCTCTTCCTCTTCTCCTTCTGTCACCCCTATGATTCAGATGTTGGAATGTTTAAAGTTGTCCTGGAGGTTCCTAAGCTTCTCCTAGTCTTTTTGAATTCTTGTTTCTTCCTTCTGTTCTGGTTAATTCTTTTTTTCTTCCTTCTGGTCCAAACCATTGATTTAAGTCCTGGTTAAGTCCTGGTTAAGTCCTGGTTAAGTCCTGGTTAAGTCCTGGTGTCACTGTTGGTTCCTGTACATTTTCCTTTTTTTCACTTGTCATGGCCTTCACCTTTTCCTCTATTTTGTTACTATACTCAACCATTTCTGTGAGCATCCTGATTACCAGTGTTTTGAACTGTGCATCTGATAGGTTGGCTATTTCTTCATCACTTAGTTGTATTTTTTCTGGAGCTTTAATCTGTTCTTTTGTTTGGGCCATATATTTGTGTCAGCACACCGGTTATGTTGTAAGGGGTGGCACCTTAGGTATTCACCAGGACAGGGCAACCCAGGTTGCGGTGTTGTAGTACTGTATGTGGTGGGGGGGTGGGGCAAGAGGGAACAATGCCACTTGCTTGGCTCTCAATTGGCTTTCAGTTACTTCCTCCACTACCCATAAGCAAATTGGGCCCTTCTGGTGCTGATTTCCAGGTAGATGGGTTTGTGTACATTCTAGGACCCTGTGGGTCTCTCCAATAAACTCTCATGTGAGGCTGGGAGTTTCTCCTGCCACCGTAACCTCCACAGTTTTTTTCAGTCATGGGCTTGAGGCTTTATTTCCCTACACTGGAAACCTGGGTTGTGTGGTCTGTCTTGCTCCCCAGTTGTTCCTTGTGGTTTACCCAGACATGAATGTGGGACTGCCCAGTCTGCCAGCCACCCCCTTGCTTGTCCCAGTCCTTTCCACCCTGGCTGCCCATCTCTACCCCTCCTACCAGTCTGGATGAATGTTTCTTCTTTAACTCCTTGGTTGTTGGATTTCCATACAGTTCAATTTTCTCAAAATTCTGGTTCTTTTTTGTTTTAAAATTTGTTGTTGTCCTTTTGGTTGTGTGAGGAGGCAAAGTATATCTACCTACACCTCCATCTTGGCTGGAATTTGTTTCTAGAGATCAACCTGAGACCAAATTATGGAAATTTTGAAAGCTAGTTAGAAAAATTTGGACTTTACTGATTAACAGGAAGTGGATTAATTAAATAGATTAGATATATACTTTAGTGGTATAAGAGAAGCACATAGGGAATAGATTGGAGGGGAAAACAATTCAAGGTAGATTTATGAGATTATGCATTAGTTCAAGAGACAAGAATGACAGCTGGACCTAGGTCAAGGGCCAGAGAATGAAAAGGAGGGAATAGAAACAAGAAGAATTAGAACTTGTTGTTCACTTAGGGGAAGGGGGAGGAATCAAGGATGCTACCTAAGTTTTGACCAGGGGAGACTAAGAAAAGGGCACATAAACATAATCAGACCAGAAGTGCATACCCAGAGAAATTTCATTTATAGCATGTTAGGTTTCAAGGGAGATATCTAGGGGACAACTGAAAAATCAGGTCTGGGGTTCAGATGTGTAGAGGTGACAGATGAAATTGAGGATATGAATGAGACTGGTTAGAGGGCTTGGGCAGAGACAGATAAAAACTAAGGATAGAACCACCTGGGAACTATCTGTATTTATGGAATGGAGTATGAGGTCAGAGGAACAAAAATGAAGAAATCATGGAATCTCAAGGCAGCAGTATCTAAAAGGAATTAAAAAGAAGAAAAGCATCTAGAAGCCAAGGCAAAAAAGGTTTCATGAAAAAAGGAAGCGTGCATGCACACTAACAACCACGAGTTTCCAGCATCTGTACAGGTTCAGGAAAGTGAGGGCTGTTGTGACTAGCCATCACTGTTAGCCTGATTCTTGTTCCCTCCCAGCCTCATGCAGTGAGGAGAATCATGTGGTCAGTGAGTCTGAGGGGGAGCTGCACTTCCCAGAAAGCCCCTACCTGTATTATGATGGCAAGCAGTGAGTAGTCTCCTCTGCAACCCCTCCCGACTCCCACCTCTGGTCTGACTGTGCCCATTAACTGTGACAGCCACTTTTGGTCTAGAACAACATCCTCTTAATACATCTGCCTGCAGACTGTGTGTCTGGACCCTGTTGGTACCAGAGGAAATGCATGTGTTACTCAGTTTTTCCCACTTGGATGCAGAGTCTTGTCACCACAATTACCTCTCAATATATTCTTCAGAAGACAGACTTACTGGTGAGTGGATTTTCACTTTGTCAAATGGACACTAGTGCTAGCAGGGCCTGGTTACAATATGTATGGCATGGAGACATCTGTAAACACCACACTTCCTGTCTCCAGTTTTTGAGACTCAGAACTGACAGTAGAAAAGAACTAAATCAGGCCACAGTGCATTGTATTGGCTGCATCTGCTTCCCATGGAACCAGGCTTCCTACCCTCTTTTGCCAGACCTGGAGCCCATTGGGAGTGAAATGAGGACATACTGCAGGACCTCTAGGGGCCTCCCGGGCAGCTTGCTGCTTTTCTAGGCATGGAAATGACCTGCCTTGACCAGCTAAGAATAGAAATGTATACTCGTGTGTAGAAGAGAAAATTTACTTACATAAAAAACAGAAATGAAGGAGAGGGTTTTGGGGGGGTGGGTCGTTCTTAACTGGAGGTGATTTTGCCTCCCAGAAGACATTTGGCAATGTCTTAGAAGCTTTTTGGTTGTCACTGGCACCTAGAGGTTAGAATGCTGCAACACTTTCTACAATGCACAGGAGCCTGAACACAAAGAACAGTGCAAAGTGTCGGTAGTGCCAAGGTTGAGAAACCCTGCTTTAGACAGTCCTGCACTATCACAACAACTAGTTCAGTTCTCCTGAAGTCTTTGAATGGTGCTGTTTTCTAGACTCTGCACAGAGAATCTTCTTGTGTTTCAGGGAAGTTCTGTGGAGAAAGGCTTGCTTCCTCAGTTCTTGTTGCCTCCAACTCTTTAAGACTGAAGTTCTTCACTGATGCCACAGATTATTCCACCGGGTTTAATCTCACCTACAAAGCTCTTAAACCCAGCTACCTCCCTGGTAAAACCATTTATTTCTATTACACACTCTGCAGGACTTCTGTAGAAGCTGAGGCCCCATAGGAATTAGGTGAGGGGCAGGGAGCTCCCTCCCAAGGCCCACCTGGCTCCACAATGCCGAGGGGCACGGGCCCATGAGGTAGCAGGAACAGGCATGCCCATGGTCCTGCTATTGTACATGCAAGTGTGGTGAGAGGGCCTAGCAAGTTCTGGAAAATCAGTGCATGAGCCTCGTCCTTCCTGTTGGCTCTGCTCAAAGATTCAGTTCATGCATCATCTGTGGAAGATGGGAGGAAAAACAAAGGGGTTCCTCTTTGCTTGGCTGATGTCACTGTTCAGATGTTTCCCCTTGTGTTTCAGATTCAGGTTGCAGTTCCTTAACTGTCCTTTTTGAAGAAGGTCTCATACAGAGTCTCCATTACCCTGAAAACTACAATGACATGGCCAACTGTAACTGGGTTTTTCAAGCCCCCAAACATTATCTAATTAAGGTACTGATTCTGTTACCCTTACTTTGCTATGGTATCTTCAGAGAACAGCTAACATAAGCACCACTAAGGCAGAGGTTTTTATCTGACTTATTCACTGCCATATACTTAGTACATAGTACCTACTACCTACGACCTGGCAAACGAGACTACGGACAAACACTTGAGTAACAGCCTGTTTCCTCCTGTAATTACCCACACTTACCACCAGATGGCAATTGCGCACTTGATATTTTGTTGAAATGCTGCCTTAAATTTTGTACCTGGTATACTGTTTCAACAGTCTCTTGTCCCTTCTAGAAACACTCTGTAATTAATAGCTAACACAAGTCCATGAAAATAAGGCCCAAATAATCAAGCTCTCATGCAGAGGGATAGAGCAAGCAGTGTAGAACACGTTCAGGGATTCGGGCACGAGAGATATGTAACATGTACAGGGAGGGGTGGTGGAAGGTAAGGCTCAGGTCAAAGTGTGGAGAGCCTCAAATGTCAAGAAGCGGAGTTTACTTAGTATTCGATTAGTGGTGTTTGTTCATTTTTTTGTCCATTAAACACTAGTGAGCCATCTGCAGGGTGATGCCTCCAGGTAGTTAAGGTGAGACCATAGTCGGGGTGAGGATGGAACTAGGCATTTATTTAGAAGTCTTTCTATTAAAATAATCATTGAAAGCAAGAGAGAGCGAAGCTGAGAGAGAAGAGTAGTAAATAAAAGGGGGAGGAGGAAGGTGAACAAGACCTCAAAATTCTCACATGTTCAAGGGGCAAAAAGAAGCCTGAACCACAGGGGAACCAACCTGGCGGGCCGCTGTGATGGCCCAGAGCATGGAGCCTTTAACTTAACACACTGAACAAAATAAACAAAGTGGCATGGCCAATACTTTGGATTTACCACACACAGTCAGAATTTAAAGAGAAGGAGGACTGAGCATTCACTGTCTGGTCCCCACCTCATCCCTGATGAAAGGGTAGAATAATTGGATTGGACAGTTGAACAGCAGAGAGGAGGTAGGAGAGGTGGTGTCTGAAATATCAAGTGAAGTCAGGTGTTAGGAGCAGAAACAACATCACACAGGTTTTGCCAATGAGTAGGAGAAAATGGCTCAGAGAAAGTAAGCATAGATCTTTTTCTAAAAGTTTCTGAAATGCAAACACAGGGCAGAAATTTCAGGAGGAAGTAGAATTAAGGGAAGGTTTGTTATCAGTGATGGAGGATAAAAGTTTAAGTAAGAGCATTTTCCGGAAGGAGGATGAAAATAAATTTAGATGACAATCTGAACATGCCAGAGCTAGAAGTAATTTAAAAACACCTATTCAATAAAGGTTCACTGAGGGCTGTGCCTCAGTGAAGTGAGGCTCTCACTCCTGGCCAGGGACAGCGTCAAGCCTGCAGGCCTCATCCTAGGTAGTAATTTGGAAATTAGCGCTACAAGACATAACTATGAGCATACCATGAATCAGAGAGAAGAGGGTTCATCTCCAGGAAGCCTCCCAGTAAGAGTTTAAGAAATGTGTGAATAAGTCCTGTTCCTGGCACGGCTTCTTCTTCCCATGCCTACACTCACCATGAATGATCACTCGCCTCCACCTCCGTCCTCTCCTTGCAGTCCTGTGGCTTCGGCTCAGTGCTCAGGCTCCACTGCATCCCTGTCATGTGTGTGTCTAAAATCTCAAGTCCTGCTCCATCCCCCCTCTCTCCCACTGCACTTCTCTTCACACTCAGGTGGCCAGTGCCATCAAACTGCTTAAATATTGTTCTTTGCTGTTTCTTTGCTCCTTCTAGGAGGGAGCTGAGGAGATCAAATATTTGCATATTTTCCCACCCTTATATTGGGACTGTATTTGGCAGGTTAGATGATTCAGCAGTTTTGGGAGCCTGTGGTACTGCATCTTTTCTGAAGTATTAATAACTTAACCCACTCATGAAGGTCCCACTAACTTTCTCACTTAAGGTCCCATGCTAGACTGAGTTGAGCAATCTAAACTTCTCTGCTTAATTAAAATTAGGTAATTCATTCCTATTATTTACTCTGGATGTAATGTGGAGATTTCTCAGCTTTCCTTTCAGAGCCTGGAAATAGAGGAGAATGGAGACTGCACTTCCGACTATGTGACAGTGCACCAGGATGTAGAAAGGAAGAAGGAAATAGGTTTGTGCTCCTGGAGCTCAGTCTCCCTGGTTTGCATTGGGACCCAGTCCTTGTTGGGAATTAAAAGGATCTGGCCCAATGGTCCTTCATTCCCCTGCACCACCTCCATCCGTCCCTACGCTCTTACCCCCACTCCTTCTTCTCCTACATCAGGGCAGGGTGGGCAAGAGGGAGAATCAAAGAGCCCTTTGAACAGAAAATACGGAAAGCCCACATGAATAAGGGGTCAGAAGGGGAAAGCGCCACTGAAATAAGCCCTCTGGCTGGAAGCAATTCCTTTAGTGGTATTCCGAGTATGAGTGTTTGGGAGATAAACAGAATCAAAATGTTGATGGGGTTAAAAACATAGTAAAAAGAAGCCAACTGCCTGTCTATTTTGAAAACAAACAGTGAAGTCCACCAGAAAGGCCTATCTCCTAATAGTTACTAAAGGACAATTATTTTTTTCTTTTCTGCAATGTCATGTCTATTTGCTGGGCCCTTGACCACATCTGACTTGGGCTGGACTTGAACCAGCTCGGTTGTGTGGCTTTGTTGCCCCAGCCCCCGTGCTGAGCTCCTCTGGTGTAATGCTCATCAGCTTCCAGTCGGATGAAAATGTGACCTTCAGAGGCTTTCGGGCTACAGTTGCCTTCATTCCTGAAACAGGTAAGATGGAAGAGGCACCCATACCTCCGGTCCACATTCTCATCCTCGTAATGTGTTAATCAAGGACAGCCTTTAGAGCCCAACGTGGATCCAATGGAATCATCATGTGCAGCAGCTCTGTTCTATAAAGTCACCACAACACGGAAATTGGTGAATACTGAACCAGTGTTCCTAGGGGAGATCCATGGTTAGGGTCCTGTGAGCCTCTGGTTTATGTCTGTTTCCATTGCAAGTCACCTTACTTAGTACATATTGTTCATTTCTTAACACCCCACTCACAGCCAATACCACAATAACTCAAACTTGGACAAACTTTATCTATCACATGTATTTTCAAAGACATCACAGCCTCCTTGCACTTAGGAACACTAGATGGCACTTCAGCACTATGTTTAGGGCCATTTCAAATAGCAAAGTCACCAACAAAAACACAAAAATGAAAAAAAAAAACCATAAAAAACGTGGCACTAAGCAGACCATGGAAAGAACAGTTACAGCATGAGAGCTGAAACAAGAAGGCAGAGTGTCACCTCGTTAGACCTCAGGTAGGGACGTGTGCATCAGGTCATTCAAATTTTTCACAAATATCCATGAATGACCCTGAAAGCACCATGAGCACTGGTTTTGAGTTACAAATAAATGTTAGCAAGTAAGTGAATTTGCCAATCCAGAATCCACAAAGGATGAGGATCAACTGTACATCTGAGTCTTGGCCTATGCTTACTAAATATGTGATCTAAGAGTTGTCTTCAGACTCATTTTCTTCAGCCTTACAATGGGTGAATGCCACATGCCTGGTAAGAACATAGTGAGGATTAAATCAACAAGTTCGTGGCATCGGGACAGGGGCTCCAATATGTGAAATATCTTCACCAATCCTCAGGCCCTGGACACCTGAATTACACTGTTCCCTTCCAAGCCCTCATACCTGTGAGCACTTTGTGCAAACCCCACAAAACTCTCAGGTTCTTCATTCTTGTTAGGGGGTAAGCAGCTACTTATGGCAAAGCCAGGTTACAGTTAAATTACTTCAGTTTTTAGTGAAAATACCACAGAGTTCAGCTGACAGAGATGCCCTAGAATTCTAACAATAATAATTAACTGCCAAGTCCCAAGCACGGGTCTTGTCTGTGTGATCTGAACAATTATGTTATGTTTCCACCCAGCATTAAACATCTCCAGATCAGAGGATGAGTCAATGTTTCTGGAGACATGAAATGCCCTACCTGAAGAATCCAGTGCTTCTGGTAAGCTGTTTCAGGGAATGTGACTGAGAGACACACACAGTGAATTAGCCTCGATTCAGCCAGAGAATGCCCAAAAGATATGTCAGAGTCCTAAACTCCAGTACCCCAGAATGTGACCTGATTTGGAGAGGGGACCTTAAAGAGTTGATCAAGTAAACTGAGGTCATTAGTGTGGGCCCCAGTGCAGTGTGACTGGTGTCCTCATAAAAGGGGAAATTTGGATGCAGAGAGAGACACGCGCACAGGGAGAACATCATATGAACGTGAAGGCAGAGACTGGGGTGATGCAGTATCTTCAAGCCAAGCAAACCACCAGAAGCTAGGAAAAAGGCATGGAACAGATTCTCCATCACAGCCCTCAGAAGGAATCAACCCTACCAACACCTTTATCTCAGACTCCTTGTCTCCAGAACTGTGACACAATAAATTTCTGTTCTTCTAAGACACCCAGTTTGTGATAGTTTGTTGCAGCAGGTCTAGCAAGCTAATACAACAGGAATCCGCTCATATGATTGTGGGAGCTAAGCAAGTAAATCCAGAGGGATGTCAGAAAGGGAAGACAGGACGCTGGAATTCCACAGGCACAGGCCGAAGCTCTTCTCCAGATGGGGAATTTCTACTCTCTTTTAAGGAAGTCTCAGCTCTGCATTTAAGATCTTTCTGATTAATTAAGTTAGGCCCACCCAGATAATCTAGGATGATCTCCCCTACCTAAAGTCAATCCATTAGGAACTTTAAATCTGCAAAATCTCTTCACAGCAACATCTCAATCAATGTTTGACTGAATAACTGGGGGGCTGTATTCTAACCAAGTTGACACATCAAAAAATCCATCACCTAGAGCACCATAGGCTGTAATCATTTCCTTTCGCTCAAAGCAACACAAATGACCCAATCACAGACCTTCCTCCAAAAGCATCATTAGACATCTCTGGGCTCCAGCTTTGTCAGCTGAAACATGGAGTGCTTCTTTAAATTTGAAGTCAGGAGTTTTTAAGTATGCATGGCATCACAAACACAATGTTTTTATGCCCTGATTGTACCACAGGGTGCCGTGTTGTGGAGGAAGCACATGAGGCTGGATTCACAAATGTGGGCTTGCATCCCAGCTTTGCTATTCTCAAGCTATGTGATCATGGACAAAGCATGAGATGAATCTCCCTGAGGTTCCTTCTCCAAACTCACGTGGTTATAAAAGGATCATAACAATTTCAGGGGTTTATGTTCCATTATGGGAAATGTTTTGTAAACTCTATAGTTCTATGAAAATGAAGGTTTTATATAATTACTCTCAGAAGGGAGGCTTTAGTTGTTTGCTCTATCTTAACTTGTTCAAACTTTTAAAAACAACAACCAGAAATTGTCCTCAAAAATAAAACTCTATTTTGAAAATCTTCTGCTTTTGTCCCTAAAAGAGATAAGGAAGCAGAGGCTGGGGCAAGTTAGTAAACAGCCAGAGTCCTGGGTGTAGTCAGGTCGGAGGTGGGAACACTTCCTTCATTTCTTTTGGATGCTTTCCATCTCTCCCCTTCCTGGAGGCCAGCCTTTCTCCTGTTGCAGGTCAGAGGCTCCCAGCCCCAGGCTGGCCGTCCTACCCCATCTGCACAGGTGGCACTTTCTCCTGGAAACTGCATTTGCTGCCCCTCCTTACTTCCTGTTGTCTCCACAGCCCAAGCTGTGAACTCACAGCTACTACCTTCTGGAGGCTCTCACTCAGCCCCTGCCACAACAGACGCTGTTTGGAAAGAGTTGAAACAACTGCTATAAATATTAGTGGGGAACTTGACTAACATCTCTGGCGTAGCTCTGCAGACATAGCTGCTCAGGAAGGATTTCCCTAGGCGTGGGCGGAATGACGGGAATAGGACTCTGCAGGCTGTTCTTTTGACTTTTCCCAAACATAGTTTATGGCAAAGTCTGGTCATTCTCAGCATCTTAAGGCTCTTGCCTTTATACAGTCTTACTCCGTCAGGCCCACGTAAGCCTCACGTTATGCAAGGTTTTCCATGCCACATTTCCATTATACAAGTTGAGATTAAAGACATTCCAGAAAGCAAAGTGTTACATCTTTGTTTTATGGCCACCTGCAGTGCTCAGTAGGGGGACTGTGATCACATAGCATCAACACACTTTAGTTTAAAGTACTTGAAGAGGAAAACCAGGGAAACTCCAATTCAACAAATAGTCTGCCCTAGTCATGGTGCTAAGCGGTTGAAGTGGGTGAGGTGCTCCACCAGTGTTCCCTCGTAAAGCTCACCCCAGTCAACTAGATTTGTCTGCTGACATCCTTTTGTCAGGATGACATTTTTGCACAATGCATAAAAGACAGGCCAGAGCCAGGGTGAAGAGGAAGGGATGGGGTGGGTGCGCACTTGTGTGGCCTGGCAGAGACAACCAGCTGGAGATGTGGCCAGGCAGCAGGAGGCTGCTGAGACAGGCTGTTCACATGAGAAAAGAGACCCATAATTATGGCAACAAAGGCATCAAAACCAGAGGGCAGGGGCACCTCCTGGCTCCTCCAATCCCAATCACAAGAAATATGTCTGTGGAATAAACCCAAGTAAAAACAAACAGGCCCTGAGAGACAAAAACAGCTGTGCCCTGACCAGGTAGCTGAATTGGTTGGACCATTGTCCTGATATTCCAGGATTGCAAGTTTGATCCCCAGCCAGGGCACAAATAAGAATCAACCAACGAATGCATAAATGAGTGGAACAACAAACTGATGTGTCTGTCTGTCTGTCTGTCTGTCTGTCTCTCTCCCTTTCTCTAAAAAAATCAATAAAAATATATTTTTTTACAAATGTACTGGCTTTAAAAAGCACAGAGTTATTCTCTTACAGTTCCAGATTCTAGAAGTATAAAATCGGTTTCACTGAATTAAACACAGGACTGGTTCCTTCCAAAGGCTCTGAGGAGAAATTCTTTTCCTTGCCCTTCTCAGCTTCTGGTGGCTACTGGCATTCCTTGACTTGCAGCGCCTTCCTCCATCTTCAAAGTTCACCACTCCAACTGCTGCTTCTGTCATTGCCTTCTCTGTCTCCTTCTGCATCCCTCTCACAAGGACTATTGTGATGTTGGGCCCACCAGACAATCCAGGATAGTCTACCCATCGTAAGCTCTTAATCACAGCTACAAAGTCCCTATTGCCATATAAGGCAGCATTCGTAGGTTTTGGGGATTAAGATGTGGGTATATTATGGGGGCATACTACGATTTAGGCTTAACAGCTAACACCTAAGGGGTGGTCATTTGTTCAGGGGGTAAGATGGAAATAAATCATTTTCAAGGTTAAAAAGCTAATTAAAAGTCCACAATAGCCTGGAAATTGTTGAGAGAGAAAATGCTCTCTAAGCATCAGCCTGGTCAGGGCATCGGTTCGCCCAGGGGAGTCTCAGCAGTGAGGGAGGCTTGCATTGCTTTGGAGAAGCTGCCCTGTGGGGCAGAGTTTCATATATGCTTAAGTAGTAACACTGATGTTCGTTCTTTCCTTTTTGCAGCAAACACTGGCTGAGGGCCCACTCTTTGACAGGTATAGGGAACTGTTCCGTGTGGTATGGCAAATGTAGCCCAGTCCCTGATTTGGAAAACTGATGGGGAGCAAGTCGACACACAGGACCTAAACCAACGGACTAGTTTCCCTGTGGGGAATCAGGCCTGCATTGTACTTATGCTGCTGTGAGGCTTGCTTTTTGCTAAAACTCCTTCACCCTGGATTGAGGCAGCAAATGTTTACTGCATATCTTTAAAGCGGCTTCCTAAAGTCTGTGCTAAGCCTCCCAAGTATGGAGTGTAACCAGTTTAACCACTTCTCCCCTTGCATCTGAAACATCCTTCTCTTTGAAGTAATTAGCAACGTTCTTTCCTTTGTTACCTGTAGAAGGTAATCACCTACGCGAACCTGTGCATAGTAAATGAGGACCCTCCTTGATGTAATATACCTGGAAAAGCAATAAAAACCTGTCCAGGCAGGGGTCAGGGCGCTATGCCATACCTTTTTCTCCACAGGACTTCTGTAGTCCGTGTGAATTTGTTCATCACATGGACCCGCAGGCCGGAGTCCACATCAGTCAGGCCCTGTTACCAAGGTGGGCATTAAGAGGGTGAAAGGTGCTCATGGTAAAGTTCTGGGGATGAGTAGAAGATAAGCCAAAATCCAGGCAGCACACGAGTATGTGAGGAACACATACAGTGTGTAGGAAGCACATTCCTGCACTCTCAAAATTACTGGGAGCTCCAGATAAATGCCGGCCTTTTATCCTGATCTAAGATTAATAAAGGAGGATGTGCCATCTGCCTCTCTAGTAACAGGGAAGGATTTGCAGGGAAAATGAGAAGGGAGGATGGAGGGGAGAGGCAAACTACTAAGAAAGCCACAAGAAAGGGAGAAGTAACTTTGGATTTTAAACAGAAAAATAAAGACTTTTAATTGAATCAAAGAAAATGACGTTCATTCATTCATTCATTCATGTAATAAATGTTTATTCAGCATCTACCAATTGCCAGGCACTATTCTACCTGTGATACAGCAGGAGTTAAACTAGAGAAAGCAAGTCCTGTCCTCATGGAGCTTACATTATACTGGACAAAGAGGGAGAGTGAACAAGTAGATAAGATACGTATGTCATCTGGTGATACGTCTTACAGAGCCAAACAAAGTAAGGAAGCGGCATACAGTACTGAAGTAAAGGGCTGTTCCTCTCTTTAGTGTTTACAGGGCTGCTATCACATGCCAGGCAGTGTGCTGAATGCTGCAGGACAGAGGTGAGGTCGTCCTTTCCTGACAGTCACTGCGCCAACCCTGGAGGAAACCAGGTCTCTGCCCTATAACAGAACTGCCAGGCAAATGTGAGAATCAGTTCTTTAATGACTGAATATTCAAGATGCATAATTACAAACTGAAGTAAAAGCTATGATTAAAATGTGATGTGTACATCTATTTAAATTGGGGGACAGGAGAGCATGCATGTCTGAGGAAGGACTATTTGAGCTGAGAACCAACAACTGTGTAAGAGTGAAAGATAAAAACATTTGTTAGAAACTATTATAACTAGAACAGCATGGTATTGCCACAGGGCTTGAGCAACTAGATCAGTGTAAGACAGCTGAGCGGCCAGGCCCAGGTAGATATGAAAACTGATATATGACAGGGAGGACAATGCAGGTTGGTGGCCAGGGATGAGAGATGCAATAAATGTTACCAAGATGACACATTATCCATGTGGAAAAACTAAACTGGATCCCTGCTTCACATCAAACACAAAAATCAGTTTTAGGTGGTAGACTTAAATGTGAAAGGAAAAACTTTAAATCTTGTCAGAGAAAATATAAAATCTCTTTGTAACATTGGGTAGAAATAGGCAAGTCACAAAAAGCACTAACCACTAAAGTAAAACACTGAACAACGGTGTGAGGCTTGCCTAAAGGAGTGGGGGGTGCAGGGTGGAGGGGAGGAAAGGGGAAAAATTGGGAAAACCGTAATAGCGTAATCGATAAAATATAATTAAAAAACATTTGACCACATTGCAATGACAAACTTCCACTCATCAAAATACATCCAGTTACAGAGAAGAAGAGGGAAGAGCGAAGAGACAAAAAAGAAAATGAAAGGTAAAATAAGTTGCAAACTGGGAGAGAACATTTGTAACTCATAACTAGCAAAGAAGTGGCCTCTAAAAAATGTAAGACTCTTTAAAATCAGTAAGCAAATATAGCTCAGTAGAAACATGGGCAAAAATCATGAGCAGACTTTTTTTTTTTCCCAGAAAAAGAAACTCCATGGGAAATAAGCATATGAAAGATACTCAGCCTCCTTAGGCATTGAAATTAGGTCTACAGGCCATCACTTCACCTGATTATATTGCCAAAAATTAAGACAGCTGACAATAATATCCTGGCGCCTACAGGTGTCCCTTACACCTGGGCCTGTGGTGGTGTGTTTGGGGATGGGGGCGGTTAATGGGATAGGAATCTATTGCTTGGCTTCTCTTTCACTCAGGACCAGGAGGCAGGGATTTACCTTTGCTACTGGCAATGGGAGAACTGATGGGGAGGAGGGTCAGCAAGATTCTCAGATATACTGTGAAGAACCCCCATAGCCGTCATGCCTGCCATTCTGCCTCCCATTGGTCTAGTGTTGGGTACCTGTCATCTCTCCCAATAATAAATGAATGAAAGAGCGCTTTGAGTGAATGACTTTTTTAACTAAATCTCACCCCCAACCCCATCCCTGCAAACACCTCGCTCTGGACCAGGCTCAGAGTTGGAGCTCGTTATGTATGTCGAATGGATAGACAGATGGATTGATGGATAAGACAGATTTGACAGACAGACAGTCATGGGCTTATAATTGGCCTAACTTCCCATTTCCTTTACCAGCATCCCCTCCCTCCAGCCTGGCCACAATTTAAACCCGCTGAGGACAGGTAGCTCTCCATCGGGGCAGCTCAGCGTGTTCAGGGAGAGGACTGGGATAGAGAGGGGGTCACAGAACAAGTAAGGCGTGTTTCACTAGGAGCCAGGAAGCCCCGTCATGGGAGCTCCTGGATTCTGCACGGGCCTGGGCCAGGGAAGGAGCAGAGTCAGAGTCACGCGGGAAAGAACCTTCCAACGCCGGCCCCTCGGGATGGGGGTAGGGGTCGGGGTCACCGCAGAGGGGGCCTGCCGCGCGCCGCCGCCGGTCTAGACGCGCGTTTTCCGGCCGAGCCCCTCTCCCCAGCCTCGGGCCCCTACCTGTCAGCGAGGCGCTGTAGCCGGTCGGTGGAGCTTCGGGTCGACGCCCCGAGTCAGCGGGCCCGCGGGGTTGGGAGCGGCGCCCCGGCCCTCCAGCAAGCCGCGCGTCAACATGTTCTGCGTCTCACTGCGGGTGGGCTCCCAGGGCAGGGTGGCCCGTGGGGAGAGGCCGAAGTCGCGGAGGCGGGTGGGCGCCGCGGAAAGTCCGACAGGCCCCGGAGTCGGAAGGGTGGGCGGGAGTGGGCCGGGAGGCGGTGTCAGGCGCGGGCAGGACCGCGCGGGTCCGGAGCGGAGGGGAACCGGCGCGGGCTGAGTGGGGGGCACGCAGCGTGGGACCCCGCGCGGGGGGCGGGGGCGGGCGGGGGCGTGGCCCGTGGGGGCGGGGCAACAGGGCGCAGGGCGGGAAAAGAGGGCAGGCGGACTCAGTCCGGAGTCTGGCCGGAGTCTGGCCGAGTCAGCCAAGGCGCGGGGTGGAGTTGGAGGCAAGTGCAGAGGCTGGTGCGGCCGCGGACAGGTGAGTGCTCAGGCTCCTTATAACCCCTTGGAAGTGGTGTGTCCCCAGGCCCCGAAGGTAATAGAGCACCCCCAGGTCATAAATACTCTCCCTACCCCAACACCCAGCCTAAAGTGGATGCTGGGAGTAGTGGCCCCTTCCTCGCCCAGCTCTCAGCCTCAGTCACCTCTGGGACATGCTAAACCCAGTCTCGCTCTCTAGTTCTGTCTTTGGGCACTGGACCTTCATTCCAAATTGTGTGTTAGAAGCAATGTCACCACTCGTTCCACCTCAAGGAGAGGACTCCCAGGGCTTGCCACCCTTGGCTCTAGTGGGGATGGAGGCAGATGGGCAGGAAGGGCCTGGTGACATTAGAACTCCCAGGTCATCCACTTAGCCTGGTTCAGGAAGCCGGAAATAACCCCCCTTGTCTGACCTGCAACTGACCCATTCCTACTGGGTCCCCCAAACACTTAGCCTGCTTTCTCTTTTAGTACCTTTCCCTCTCCCAGTTTCTTTCAGGCACAACCCAGCTTTTGAGCCTTGGGTGTGGAGGAGGTTCCTCTGTGGCTGAGAACTGTCTTGCCCAGGGCAGGCAGGACCAGAGGTGACCTGCTCACATTGTGTCTGGCTAGGACCCGTCCCTGCTCCTTGCCATCTCTGTCATTGGGGTTACGATACTTCTCTTCGCCCTGAAGAACATGAACTCACGGAGGAGACATCTTATCACCCTACAGAACCCTGAAATGAAGTACCCACTGCCCCTGATTGAGAAAGAGGTAATGAGTCAGGCCACTGTCAGCAGGTGAAAGAGAGGAGGCCAAGAGTGGTGGGGATGGTGCTGGCTGGGAAGGCAGGGTGGTGGGACAGGTATTCACGGCCTCCAGTTTGCTCCCCACTGCCTTTGTGTGTGTGTGCATGCTGGGAGAGCCCCAAGGGGAGCTCCTTTCCCGGGCATCTGAGCTGCCCAGCAAGGCTTCTAGGAAGCTGACAGAGCCTGCCTTGTTTTCTGTTTTATTAGCAAATCAGCCACAACACCAGGAGGTTCCGCTTTGGACTGCCCTCACCAGACCACGTTTTAGGGCTTCCTGTAGGTGAGTTGTGTTTGATGTCATTACCAGGACTGGGTGAGGAAACTCAGACTTGGCTGAGGTGTACAAGTTGCCCTGCTACTTTGCCTGAGACGCATGGGCTCAGAGGAGACAGGCTTGGGAACAGTCCATTCCCTTTCTCACTGTTAGATTTGAGCTGACACAGAAGTGACCTTGCAATGAGCATTGAAAAGGAGTGAGTCTAGAATCAAAAGCTCTAAGATCATATCGTAGCCGCCTTGCTAGGCAACCTTAAGCAAGTCCCTCAACCCCACTGAGCCCAAACTATGAAATGAGATTTCCCAGGCCTGCCTGCCTCTTGGTGCGTTGTGAGGATAAAGTGACTGACAGATGTCAAAATTCAGAAACTGCAAAGTGCTGTCTGTGCACATGGGACGGATGAAAGACATTGATGTTCCCCTACAGTCAGGAGGGAAGCCCAGGATGTGTGGAGAGGCAGGAGGGAGTCAGCCCCCTCCCCTAACTACCACATGGATTCTCAGCAGGGGCCTCAGACCCATTCAAGGAGGCACTCAGGAGGGCTGTAAATACCAGCCCTAGCAGTCCTAGAGTTCTGAGTCACCCCGATTTTAGTCTGTAACACCACCAGATGGCTGAGTCAGTCTCACTGAGGTGGAAAACCTCTGCCAGGTCCACAGCCTAAAAATCCTGAACTCCGTACACACTGCTAGTGCCTGGTGAAGATCCTCATTCATGGGCTGTGTACATAGGGCAAAACCTTGACCTCACCTCCAGCAAGTGTTAACATGACCCCTTAGGCAGCCACCCTGGCTCCTCAGCCTCTGCTGTGTCCTGTCTCCTTCTTCATCCATGACAGCTCAGTGTTGGCCTGACTTCTAGCCCCCTGTCTGACCTGCTGGCAAGAGGGCTAAACGAGTAAAAAAACTTTGAGAAATAGCATATCTGAGAATCTGTCATGACTCACTCTCTTCTCATCCCTGGTGTAGGCAGTGCAAAGTTAGTGGGACAAGGTGATTTAGAAGCTTCTGGGAGAGTCTGCTATGAGCCCTGAGAGACTGCTGATGCTTCCCACCTCGGCTGAAATGAAAGTGGTTAGAGACGGGGCCTGCGGGATCAACCTGGGGTGGGCAGCCCCATTTTTTCTGAGGGTGCTGCCAGGCCAGGCCCAGGCTGGCTGCAACTGAAAGAGCCTTTTAAAAGTTTCCAGTTTCAGAGTAGTTCTCAGAAGGAAGCTGCCTCAGGCTTTTGTTGCCGGGTATCCCTGGTTCCCAGCCAGGCCATAGTCAGAGTCTTTGAGCCTGTCCTTTCTTTTTTTTTTTTTTAAGTTTCTTTTAGGTTTTAAGATTTTATTTATTTATTTTTAGAGAGGGAAGGGAGAGAGAAAGAGAGAGAGAGAGAAACATCAATGTGCGGTTGCTGGGGGCCAGGGCCTGCAACCCAGGCATGTGCCCTGACTGGGAGTCAAACCTGCAATGCTTTGGTTCATAGCCTGCGCTCAGTCCACTGAGCTATGCCAGCCAGGGCTAAGCCTGTCCTTTCTTAACCCCAAGAGTTTGTGCCTCAGGCCTCCTCAAAGATGTTGGTTCGTGTTCCTGAAGCGACTGGAAGGACTGACCCAGCATTCCTTCTCTTCTTTTCCTCCTTCTCCCCTCTCTGTCTCTCTCCAGGTTTCCACTTCTGTCTCCTGTGTATATAGTTTCTACTCCCTCAGACACTCTGGCACAGAGCTTCCTCTTGCCTCTGTCTCTCAGCATCTCTTTAGTGCAGCTTCTGCCCTCACTACTAATCGCCTTAGTCACTGAAGTCTCCCGTGGTAGATCCAGCAGAAGTCGGAACAGCCCAGTGCATCATATGCCACTGGGATGCAGTTATGATCCACAGGTTTCTGGCCACAGCTGGTCCAGTCATCTCTGCCCTGGATGGTCAGAATTACAGGGTTCAAAACTTCATTGCTGCCTCTTAGCAGAGCTATCGCACAGGAAGACACAATGGTCTTTCTAGAACTCCTGGTTTGTGGGCATCCAAATCCTGAGGCCCTACATACCTGTGAGCTCTGGTGTTCTCTGTGCCAGGCAACAGGCTACAGATGAGGGGGGCATGATTTACTCACTGACTCCGATGTATCCAGTTAAAGAAGAAATCACTTTGTGAAGGCAACATATTCTGCTTGAAAAGGGAAATTCCCCTTTCTGTTATTTTTAATACTCAGCCTCCAACAGTGAGCTCTTCCTGGTCCACAGAGTACTCTGACACAGTAAGCCCCGACAGCGGTTTCCTGTACGTGAGGCTTACAATGACACTGTAATGGAGGTGGGGCAGGCATAGCACCCCCATTCATGCAGAGAGATGAAGTGACTTGCCCAGGGTCGCACAGAGTGACAAGGACAGGCCTAAGATTCAAACATCTGAATCTGGGCTTCTCTACATGGCCCTCCTCCCGTGTACCCTGCCACACTATGCACCCCCTTTCCTGAAGTTCAGTTCTTTGGGGGAGTCCTGAGTCCTACTTAGGTCAGCCATGCTGACTTGACATTTGATGCCTTTCCTGTAGGTAACTATGTCCATCTCTTGGCCAACATTGATGGTGTTCCGGTGACCAGGGCATACACACCTGTGTCCAGTGATGATGATCAAGGCTTTGCGGACCTAATTATAAAGGTGAACAATGCCGCCCCTTGTCCAGCTGTCTCACCCTCACAAGCCTATTAAGGGTGGTGGGGTGGAAAAGGGACATGTGCCCTAGACATGTCATTTAACAGTGTAGCTGTTGACCTGGTGAAATCTTCAGGAGTAGCTTGTAGCGACTGTGAGTACAGAGGATTTTCTCCACATGGTTCTCAATGGCAAATGCGTCCCTGAGTTGTGCGCGGTTGTGGCCTCAGGTCTCAGGCTGAGAAAGCCATGCTGCCTTATTTTTCAGATCTACTTCAAAAATGTACACCCTAATTATCCAGATGGAGGGAAGATGACCCAGTACTTGGACAACATGAAAATCGGGGACACCATTCTTTTCCGAGGGCCAACTGGGCGCCTCTTCTATCATGGGCCAGGTACTGGGGGTTCATACTGGGCCTCCCACTGGGAGGAAGATCTCCTGCAGGGGTTCCATTGTCCTAGAAAACTCCTCAGATGTGAGGCACATGGTCTCGCCCTTAAAGTTGTCACACATTCATTCACATACTCATTTCATGAGACTGTTAGCACCGTTGAGGTAGGGGCATGATTTGGTGTTTCCTCATCACCTGACACATAAAATGTAACCCACTAATGCTGAAAAACAGACAGATGGAGTCTAGACTCCTTCATTCACTCACATGGTCATCACTTACTCGCTGCTGTGGGTGACAGTGCTCTGTGAGGTTCCCTAGTCGCTTCAGCATAACCTCCCTCGTCCCTCAGAAGAAATGATCCGGTGATCCCCACCGAGGCCCAGCCACTACGCCCACTCTGTGCACCGGGGCTGGCCGAGGAGGTCACCCTGGCTGGCTCCTCTGGCTTAAAATGGTGCAGCCACTTCCTTAGGTGGACTGGCCTCCTGGAAGTCCTGAGGAAAGTCAGTGACCTTTTGCAGGCTCTCAGGCAAGAACTCCGGAAGTCAGAAGTATCCTCTGTGCTTTCAGGGAAGTTTTCAGTCAAGGAGCAAAAAACAAGTAAGCCTGAAGAAAAACTGGCCAGTCAACTGGGAATGATCGCAGGGGGCACAGGTAAGCGGCTTCTGGGGGCTTCATCCCGAGGTGAGCCCTGAGACCTCTCTGACTTTAGAGTTGCTTGATCCTAGAAGGGGTGATGTTTGAGAGTCACTAGCCTGGCTGTTTTAGATGGGAATGCAGGGTCAGTGAGAGGCCTTGAAACTGACCCTGTGTGCACTACTCCCCTCCCCCAACACGGCGGCTGCCGGCGGGGGGGGGGGGCCCCCTCCGGGAGCCTCTAACGTCAGGCTGGGGACACGGAAGAGGCTGCAGGCAGGCTGCGCAGGCCCACACGTGGTCCCCCAAGGACTCCTGGGTCCAGCTGAAGCCTGACTCCCATCTTTTGAAAATGAATGCCTGAAAGAAGAAAACAAACATGTAAGGAGACCTACAACTTGCCAGGCACCATAATAGGCACCTTTAAAACTATCACATTTACTCATCATTAATTCTGTTTTACAAGTGAGGGCCTTGAAGAGCTCAGACTGGCCCTTGAATCACCCCAGTTAGTGAGGGAGCTGGGAGTGAAACCCAGTTCCAAAGAAAGCTAGTGCTCCTTCCATCTTGCCATCTGAAAATGAGAAAGGGCTTTTCATTTGTTGTTGCATTAGAAGGGAAAATGAAGGGCTGTTCCCCACTTTTGGTTTTGGGGGACAGACGTGAGAAAAGTAGAGCTAGGGTCAAGCTGCTGCAGAGCAGGGACTGGGCCTCGAGAGGGAGACCTGGCCTGCCCGTACACCGTGTTCCAGGGATCACGCCCATGCTGCAGCTCATTCGCCACATCACCAAGAACCCCCAAGACAGGACCACGATATCCCTCATCTTTGCCAACCAGGTCGGTTCCGCTGAGTCAGCCCTGAGCTCGCAGGGGTGGGATGGGTGGAATGTTCCCGGAGCAGGGCTCTGCATTCACTTCTCCCCCGACCGGCTGCCTGAGCCCCTGCTGCCTGAGTGCCTGTGGCTGTGGGAGGGCTGGTGAGAAGCCCAGCCTGGCCCTGTTGTTCCTTCTTTTTTTTTTTTTCTTCTAACTTTTCTGTCTCCCCAGTCAACCCGAAGCACCATGCTTTCCTTCCTTCCTCAATACACAGTTCTGCCCATCTGAGTAAAACATCATAGCAGCCTTCAACGTGAATTTTGGAAAATACAGAAACATACAAATATTTTACTTGTTTTTGTCCTTTTTCTCTGCACGCTATGTACTTACAATTACATACATATAGATTTGGGTTTTTTTAGTCAACATTACCATACAGACATTTTCTTTTCATTAAAACTATAAATATTTTCTCCAGAGCCTATATCAAGTTGCACCATAATTTACTAAATCTTCTACATTCAGATTGTTTTTAGTTATAAATGATAGTAGTGAATAATTGTGCCTAGACTTGGTCATTACAGATTATTTTCTTAAACAGAATCCCAGATGTGGAATTATTAGGACAAGGGTTATAAAGGGTTCTAAGACCCAGGTCTTCTGCGCAGCATCACCAAGCCTGTGGCAGGGTTCCTTTAGCTCTGGCTGCCTTTGCCCTGAATGAGGCCCCAGCCTGTTTCTCTCTTTAGCTCTCCAGTGCTGAGTTATTTTACATATATATATTTATAAATATTTATACACATACATACACATATACACACACACATATATTTACTGCCTTAGCCCCTTGCACTCCCTGCAGAAGATCCTGGGCCCACACTAAGCTTGTGCCCGTTGGGTTTGCTGTGCCTGGTGTCAGTGTGGATGTTGGAGGTGGGGCTGGGACCTCTGAGTGAAGCCACCTCACTCCTGCTGAGCCACGGCCTTCCAGCTGGAGGGCAGTCACCCAGCTCCCCCACTCACAAGGGAGGGTTTGATGCACAGGAGTGCAGGCAGAACACCCATTTGCCCCAGGAGTCTGCGGGCAGCACTCAAACTAGAGTAGGGGTAGCTTGGCCAGGAAGGTGCTAACCCGTGAGCTCAGCCTAGGGAAAAGTGGGAAGTCCCTGGAGGGGCTTTGCTCATGCCACTTTATTTCTAGACAGAGGAAGACATCTTGGTGAGAAAGGAGCTTGAAGAAGTTGCCAGAACTCACCCAGATCAGTTCCACCTATGGTACACCCTGGACAGGCCTCCTGTTGGTATGGACCCCATTGTCCCCACCGTGAGTCGGTGCCAACCCTTGACCCACCTCAGGAACTAGTAGTCCCTGGGTTGGTTGGTTGGTTTGTTAGGACTGGGCTTGGGGGTTGAGGACTTGGGCTCTGTCTCTCCATGGGAAAGATAGGAATTTGAAGGAGAGAAGATTTGGGATGACCTGCTGATAAAGGCAGTCACAGGCAGGTGTCCAATATCTCAGCAGCACTCCACACTGCATTGCATGTCAGGAGGGACACTGAAGCACTGGGCCACCCTGAACACCCCACCCCTCCACTGCATTCCACGCAGCATTCCACAGAGGCGTCGCATACACTGCATCCAATATAGCCACTGACCCCTCGCCACTCACCTCACCTGGATAGCAGTCCTCACATGCTGAGCCTCAGTCAGCACCCAGCCAGCACTGCACACACCACACCCTACAAGGCCACCACACCCTTCAGGCTGCCTCTCCCACACTGCACAGAGCTGTGTCCACCTTGTCATACAGCTCACTGCCCAGCAGAGGGAGCCGCCCCACGGAGCCAGTCCATAAACTGCAACACACTGCCCTGCAGGGCTCTGGCTCACCGCTTTGATTCACACCTCTCCTGGCACAACGCACCTCACTGTCCTGTTCCCCATCCTCACCAGTGCTCACTGCAGGCAGACTCCAGCCCGGAGCCTCGCACCCTGGGGTCTGGGGTAAATACTGAACAGAGCTGCCTGGCTGCACCCAGTGCTCTACTTTGCAGCTTTCTGCAGAGAACAGTAGCACGAACTTCTGAGTCTTAGACAGCAGCTTCTCCTCCCTTTCCCTGGCTTCAGGGAGGGACAGCAAGAGGCCTGGCATCAGGGACTTGACCTGGCACCTCCACAGCTTTTTTCTGCTTAATCTCAGACTGGAAGTACAGCTCAGGCTTCATTACCGCCGACATGATCAAGGAGCACCTCCCTGCTCCTGGGAAGTCCACGCTCATCCTGGTGTGTGGCCCGCCGCCCCTGATCCAGACCGCCGCTCACCCGAACCTGGAGAAACTGGGTTATACCAAGAACATGATTTTCACCTACTAACACCTTCTTTGCTCTTAGCAGATTTCCCCAGTCCCTTACATCTGTTTCAAAGAGAGTAGCATCACCTCGTTCGAAAGTGCCTCCTCACGTGTTCTTGAGCATGTTGGTGCTCCTCTCTTTGGGGTTGGCCTGAGAAGGGTTTACGGGGCTGGGGGAGAAATGGCATCTGGAGTCTTCTTGCTTAGGGAGGTCCGAAGGAACTCCATTTTAGTATCTTTCCCCTTGGTCTAGTGAAATAAACTTCAGTGCAAAGTGGCTAACCCATGAGGTGTGGCTCTGTGGGGGACCCACTGGGCACCTGGAAGGCCTCGGCCTGCCCTACGTGTGGATCAGCTTGTGTGCGTCGACGGGAGGTCAGAACTGGCCAAAGTGCCAGAGCAGAACTGACCTCACCCCCACCCCCCACGTGCTTCGTTTTTAAGATCAGTTCTATTAGAAGGCTCAGACCCCCCTGTGAGCGCTCTTCCTCCTATGGTGGGAGACCCCCGAAACAGCAGTGGTGTTCAGGGCAGCAGGTGAACCCGCAGGGTAGGTGGGCTCCAGGAGCCCTGACTCCCTGCACTTGGCACACAGATGGAGGTAAGAGGGAGTCTTTCTGCTAGCATCCTCTGAACGCAGGCCCCGTTCTGGTGTGGTGGGGTAGGGGTGGGTACAGACAGATGCTACCGAACTTGCAAATAAATTTATGTTCCAGAAGCTACTCCTCAAATCTTTCATATCTCAGGTGACTTCTCTTGCCATCTGCTGCTCACGGCCAGGAAGATGTGCTCCTGCTCTTTGTCACCTGAGAGGGGGCAGCACCCCTTCTGCACTGAGTTGTGTACAATCCTCATAACAAGCCACACATTTGGTGGAGACTTTGTTCTTCCAGTTATAGATGCAGAGGAAACGGAGCCTCAGAGACAAAGTTATTTTCCCCAGGTCATTCAGCCAGCAGGTGGCAGCGCTGGGCTGCAAACCTGGGTCTGTTTCCAAGTCACTCCTTCCCTTTTCACAAAAGTTAGCTTAGCAGCAGCCTTGCTAAACCTCTGTGTTGCTGGATTTCTTACTCAACACATACAGGGTAAGGGAGAGGGAGGAAGGCACTCTAGAGAACAGGGCGGCCTCACCCAGGGCTGGTGGGGGCGGGGTGCGGGGAGGCAGCCCGTCTCCCTCCTTGCACATGTGCAGTGCATCCTCACGGAATCCCCTACCCAGAGAAAGGTTCTCCGCTGGGCCCTGCACCATGAGTAAGATCCTGCCCTGGCATATTTTTCTTAAACAAATATCAGTGTGCTTGTCTCCTGCTTTAAACCTCTTACTACTTTCACTGGTCCCTTCCTGGCCACCCCGGGTCTCCAGGATACATTCCAGGGCCCTGGTCTACAAGGCCTTTCCTGATCTGGCTCTAGGTGACCGCACCAGGGTTGCCTTCCCTGGGCCTCCCACTCCCCACCTCAGCAGTTTTCAGCCAGAGGGGATCTTGCCCGCCCCAGGGCATATCTGGCCAAGTCTGGAGACATTCGGGGTTGTCACCACTAGAGAAGAGGTGCTTTTGGCACCCAGAGGGAGAGCCCTGGGGTGCTGTGGGCAGCACGGGGGACAGCCCCCAACAACGACGGGGCGGAGGATGGGAAACTCTGCTCTCGTTTCACCGGCTTCCTGGGTGTGTTGAGATCTTCCAAGTCCGTCTGGCACGCCTTTCCCCTCTGGCATGGTTGGGGCCACTTCATCTTTCAAGATTCAAATATCACCTCTACCTTGGGGCCTTTTTGCCCCCTGCCCACTCAGTCCAGTCCTCCATGAAAAATGACAACTAGCTGTTTGAGGCTGTGGAGACTTCTACTGGAGCATCTGTGACATTCGGAACACTCTTATCTGAAACAGACCCGAGTCCCTCACTGGACCATCAGCACCCTTAGGCAAGCACCTCGGCAGTCATGCCTCACCCCTAGCCCTCCTTAGTCCAGCATGGACGGTACTTAACCTGACATAGGAAGGAGTGAGTGGAGGGGAAGTTAGCAGCATGGATCTCCTGAGCCAGGTGAGCCCCAGGAGCCCACCTACAGCACGTGCCTGGTGAGTTGTGTTGAGGGTGGGTGTGGTACGGGAGAAAGATGACACATTACTTCAACGTGAGCTAGTAAGTGCTCAGGCTCAAGGGACACAGGGACCTCCAACAGAAACACCAGTCAGGCTTCCTGAAAGAGGCTGTGTCTGCGCAGGCAGCATTTGGCCCTGTGACCAGGACTGGGAGAAAAGTACACCCCACAGGGAGGGAAAGACACTAGTGCAGGCTCGAGCAGGGCTTCCTGAAGGCTGAAGATTCAAAAGTTCAAAAGGGCCTTGGGTGCTTGCTGATGAAGGCTCTGAACTCTGAGCAGTGGTAAATTCAGGAACCAAGGAGTTCTTAGCCAGGACGGTAATAGGAGTAAAAACGGTGTTTTGGGAAGGTCACTCTGGGGCTGGGGTAGAGAAAGTCTGGAGGGGACCAACCGGAAAAGTAAGGGGCCAAGCAGGAGGCCAGCTGTGAAAATCAGAGGAGAGATGCCAGAGCCATCACAGCGGGAGGAGGGAGGGTGGCCAGTCACTCAGGGGCAAGACCGGCCGGGAGGCCCCTGTGTGTTAGGGGCACAGGCATCTCTCCTCAGGTAGGAGACACCTGAGGTTTACAGGCTTCTCTGGAAGATGGAGAGTTGTTGTGGAAACATCGATTTGAGGTTCCCAAGGGCTTTCCACTGGGGGGAGCTGTTGGATCAGGCGATTGTGTCTGAGGCTGATGAGGGAAGGGCTGGAGGCTGTGCTGTGTCAGCTAGGGCAAGAGCTGGGCGAGGGTGGGGGCCAGGCCCTTGAGTCTGTGTGTGTTGGAGACGTCTGCGCTGGAGGCTGGGAGGCCCAGCAGCACGGAGGACCTGGGGCACGCTGGTTCGGCTCTGCACACCGAGGGTAGACTGAGGGCAGCCAGGGCCGGGGAGGGAGTCCCATTACTCCTTTCCTGTTCTCACCCCAAATACCCTCGTGCAGACCAGACCCCCGTGAGTGGGAACACATGCTTCTGTCTGGAAGCAGCCCAGAGAGGGGGCTCCTATTATCATCTCACCCAGCTCGGCCTCTACAGAATATTCAGAACACTTTCAGAACGTTTTTTCCAGCAGAGCTTTTATGAACTCACAGACCTTCCCCTTTGGTGTGAGAACCTCCCAGCTGTCACCAGGAGCAGCATGAGCCATTGAGTCTGAGCTGACACCTCACTGCCCTCCGTGCACCCGTGGTCTGCAGTCAGGTATAAAAGTACAAAAGATATAAAAGCTGTGGTGAAGAGCACAGCACGGCTGAAAACACAGGGGCGCTGGGGCCACTTCCTGGACATCTGTCCACAGCCCCACTTCCTCCAGTCAGCACGCACGCCCGAGATGCCCCGCCTGCCTCCGTCTGGGCTGTGAAGTGGCTGTGTGCCAGCTCCCCCGTGAAGCAAAGCCTCGGGGCCCCCACACGTGCCTCTCTGGGCGCTCAGCCATGAAGAACTCATCTCCAGTCCTCAGAGTCGGGAGCCGCCAGGCGAGAGTCATTCAGCATCTGGTCCTGGCTCAGCATGGTCTGAAAGGACACAGCCGAAGGCGCAGTTGAACAGGGCCTGGGTCAAAGCCACCCTGCAGCGGCTACACAGGAAGCAGCAGGCACTGAGTGTGGTTCCATCTGATAGCAGCACCCGGTGAGTTCACGGTGTCCCAGGGATTCCATGTATTGGGTCGGAATAGACAGCACTCTCAAGATAGGAAATTGTTCATACCTTAGAGGCAAAGTTGCCATTTCAAGGGCACCAGAAATCTCTTAGAGGTAATAAGGGCAGAGCTGGGTGGACTCATTTAAGTGTGTGAGCCAAGGAAAAAAATGCAATAGAAATGATCCTACTTGGATTCCAGGAGATAGCCTGCTCCCGCTTATGCCCTTGGATACGGCCTTCTAACCATGTCTCAATAGATGGGCAAAGGACAGGGACGGTGGCCTCAGCGGGACAGATGCTGTGGCCAGTGGGCTTATTGATGCAGCAGATCAGAAACTAATGGGCTCTGCAATGCATAGGGCTGCAGAACTGTGAACCCTCCCTGTGGCTGGCCTTTTCCTGCCCGTTCTAGTCTGCCCATGAACCTCGTCAGGAGGGTATCTTTAGCCCCGCTTTACAGATAACCAAGCTGGGGCTCGGAGATAGAATGACTTGCCCAAGGTCCCAGAGCAGGGGCCTGAACCAGGCTGGCCTCACTCCCGGGCTGCTCCTCTCCCCGAGCCCATGCTGCCTCCACAAGGTACAGTTTGTCCCCATCGGGCACACCCGGATGTGCTCACGTGACTTGATATCCATGATGTCAGAGGCATGACAGGAAATAAGTGCATCTCATGGGCAAAGAGGGTAGAAGAGTGTCCACCAGGCCAGAGGTAAGGCCTGGGCACGGGGCTGACTAGGCAGGCGACCCAGAGCTGCTGAGCATCTCGGTTTCCTCACCAGCTCTGAGACTGGGAAGAAGACCTGAGGCCTAGCACATGTGAGCTGGTTTTCACTCAAGGTCCATAACCCTTCCCACTGCCCTGAACAGCTCAAGGCCCAGCAGTAGGCCAGTGGAGAAGGCCTCTGTACCACCTGCTGCTTCAGGCTGGCTCAGGCTCTGGCCCCAGCACCCAGTGCCATTCTCTGTCCTCTCCCAGCAGAGGCATTGATGACACGGGCTCTGGAGTAGGGTCAGGGCTGTCCTAGGCCTTGTACACCACCTCACCAAACTCACGGGGCCTCCCAGCACCTGCTGTGGAGAGAGGGTCAGGGTCCTACCGTGAGGCGGTGGATGTCTTGGGAGAGGAGCCCTATCTGCGTCACAGTGCCTTCCGAAGGTGCCATCTGTAAAATGGGCAGCAGCCCGGTCAGTGCACATGTGCTCCACTCATGGTTCACAGGGACAGCATGCGAGTCCTGCCCCACTCCGGCATGCCTCCTAGGGGTGCAGACAAGGAGTGGGCCAGGCCCTGAGAGTGACAGGTGGGCAGAGCACATGCTGCCTGTCCCCAGGGAGAAGCAGAGCTTCCAGTACCCACACTACCATACACATGCTCTCCTGGGTCCCCACCTTGCCACCAGCTATAAGTGTATCCCAGCTCAGGTACCCCGGCGCAGGGCACAGGCAGGGTCTGTCAGGAACAGCCCTTTAGTGTGTGTTTAATACTCCAGAAGCTGAGATGAAGGACCTCAGGATGCTGAATACACTGACTATTTTGGGCATCAAGAGGTCCCCAGACACTGATGCCCATCTAGGCCCAGGTGCGCATCCTTAGGGAGCTGCTGATAAAGCTTCTTCACTAACAGGACAGCCCTCCCCTCCCTTCACCTTCAGGTAATGCTGGCCCGCTCCTTCTCCCTTAAACTTTTGGACATTGTAAATTTGGAAGCATCCTCTGAGGGCTTCATGTATAACCAACCCCTCATTTTACGGGTGGGAAAATGGGGGCCCACAAAGGGGTAGAGGCCTTGCTTGAGGCTGCACAGAGAATTAGTGATGTTTAGTGACGTAAGTCCATGCAGAGTTGAAAACAGGCACATGCAGAAATACCCTCCATGGGAACAAGGGACAGAGCCTGCCCTATGTGGCTCTCCAACTGCAGTGCCCAGGTGCCAGCCTTGAGGAGCACCTGCCTTACAGTGGCCCCAGGCACTGGCATCAAACACCGGCCGTTCCAGCTGGCGAGCTTATCCATCTCTCACTGGCCAGACTTCAGGAGAGACTAGAGGCCATGGCCAGAGGTGACAGGCAGTTTAAGAAGCAAATCTGAGCATCAACTCCATCTGGGACAGAATCAGAAGTGGGGTCACAAGGCCCCAGGCTTCCAGACAGTCCCGATGAGGCTGTTATGCTTCTGCAGATGAGGCCCTGGGGGACCCAGTGGAGCCAAGAGCTGCCCTGGGGCAAACTGGAATCTCAGAAGCAGGAGCCCAGACCAGCCAGCCGTGTCGCTCACGCAGCGCTTGGCCAGACGAACCCTGTCTGGAAGATGCATTATCAGCCAGCCAGCCTCTAAATCAGGAGGACAGGGCTGCTACAGCGCTGCCAATGCAGACTGACCAACCGACCTCCACAAGGGTTACGGGCTCAGCTAGGTCCATAACGGAAGCTGGAAAAACACATAAAAGAACAGAAAGTCCTTCCAGCAAGGCCACCTTCTTGTCTCCCCACCACCCCTTCACTAGGTGGCTCCCGCCACTGAGAGGAAAACCAGCTTTGAGGGCTGCATGACAGATGTGGCCGACGGTCAGAATGTGCATGGGACACCAGGGAGGTGGAGCCTGAAGCCACAGGACCTCTTCTGAGGGACATGGTCTGGGCGTCCTTCCTTGCCCCACCCCCCACGTCCACAACTCTTGGCAGACCCTGTGTGCACCCGGCTGAGGACCCGGCCGGTGCTGCTGGCTCTCAAGCTGCGCAGGGAGCAGGACGCCTTCTCCAGATGGGCTCAGCTGTCTTCCCCCAGCAAGATTAAAGACATGCTGCGCTGTTTGCTTTCTACATAAATACTGCTTTTATTACTAGAAGGAAGCGACCACCTGTGTCGGAAGGCACAACACAGTTACACTGTCACTGCGGCAGAAAACCCTGCTGCTGTCCCTGTGATCTCAGCCAAGACTCCGTGGCCCGAGGCCTAAGGCACTTGAGATTGGCCCTCAGCTGAAGCACAGCGGGGGGCCTGAGAGCTGAGCCTCTGGGGATTGCCCACGGTCTCTGGACCTGTGTCCAGACTCGCACATTTCCACTGGTGCTGAAGATGGACATAAAGAATCACTAAAAATGTACAAGCATCTTTAAGGGTCTCTCCTCCTGAGTCCACCTTTGGCAGCAGTTCCCAAAGTCTGGCCCCTCAGCAAAGGCGTAACTCCATGCCCTGGCCACCCTCGGGGTTCGGAGAAAGACTGGCCCCAGGGTGCATAGCGGCTGCACTGTCCTCCGAGAGTCATGCACATGTGCAGGGGATGCGATGCAGTTATACGGTGACACACACGGTGTTACTGTGCATTCTCAGGGTGCACAGACAGGATGGGTGACAGGCATCAGCTAATCTGTCCCACCTGGTCCAGTCCATCCACTTCAGGGGCATCGAGTGGGCTAAGGCCCCGGTAGCCACCGTAGACCCTGTCAGGAACGCTGTCGTTGGGCTCCATCGGGCAAATGTAGTCCGTCGATTCATCGAACTTCTTTTTTCTTATGTTTCCAAAATGTGAAAATCCAAGTTTCCTTGGCTAAAACACAGCAAATGCAAGATTATGAGAAGGATACCAAGCTGGTGTGCAGGTATGACTGACAATACAATGCACAGCAGGCCTCGGAGGGAAGAAGGCAGGCCAACTGCTTCCAGAAAAACTCCAACAAAATAGAGCTCCTGTAAGCAGGTTCTGTGCTGGGGGAAGACCAACAGACATGTAATCCTGAACCTGGAGAGCCGCTGCTCGAGACTCTGTTCCCGGAACTCACGCCCTGCGGCCCCAGGAGTGATGTCGGCACTTCCCAGAGGGGTGGGGTGTGCACTGGGAAGCCCAGAGGACCTGCCGCACCACAGTGGCTGGTGCCACACAGGGAGCTCTCCCTTCCTTCCTCTTGCCCTTGTGGAGCCATGTGGGCCAGCCCTGGGTGGCCCTTCTCCTTTCTCCAGCTCCGCCCAGTGGTTTTTCTGCCTGTCTCCCCCGGACACACTTCCTGTCCTTCCCCCCTTGGTGAAGGAGATCTGGGAAGGACATGGCCTGAGGACGATGCGGCTCAGGCAGGTCAGGTGGGCTTTGTGGCGTTCAGAGAGCCCCAGAGAGCGGTGCTGGTACTTAGACAACCTCGGGGCCTCTGGATAGCTATGTGCTGGCCACTCCACAGGGTGACCGGGGCCAGATGCCGAGAGGAACACACCCTGTGTTGGCAGGAAAGCTTTGCCCAAGACACCCCACAGCACTGTGGCATAAAACTGGGCTTGACTGCCCAGAGCCCAGACTTGGGAAAATTCAGCAAGGCAGGCTTGGTGTAGACAAGCTCCTAGCCTCCTGAGAGTAAGTGCTTCCTGAACATGGTGTCTGTGTAAAGAAACTTGCATTTCGTTCCTTGGATTCAAGAGTGGCAGGGAAGTGGACTAATGGAGACTAACAGACAATGAGACTAACAGAGCAGAAGCTGAGACAGCCTCCTGGTCTGGGTGGTACATGCTGGTTTGGCTCTGGGCCTAGCTCAGCTCTGTACCATGTGAGGGCCAGAAGGGAGGCCTCTGTGACCACTGCAGAAAGGGGCCGGCGACTCACCCGCACTTTGGCTGTGGTGGTCAGTGGGGTGTAAGCTGGTGAGGTCATTTTCTCTCGTTTTTCCTGTTCAGCCTCAGGACCAATCAGAGCATTGAATTTGGTAGTTAGGTGGCGTCTGAGAAGCGTCTTTTGTGGTGGGATATTGAGAAGCATAGCCAGGGTGTCGCCCGTGAAGCGTGGCTCCAGGATCTAAGGAGCAACCAGACAAACCATCCAGTGGTGACAGTGGTGGCCCCAGGGGATGACACTAAGAAATGACCCCATGGGCCTGGGAGTGACTCCAGGGCAGGGGCTGAAGCTCACCCACTTGACCTGTGTCCCGCTCCCCTGTCTACCGGGCACAGGGCCTGGCTCTGAGCAGACTGACCATCTCATTTTCACAGACCAGCAAAGAACTGTGACCTCTCAGATAAGGCTGCCTCCCAGGGTCCACTCTGGGTGACTTCCAAGCCACCCCTTCCTCCTTTCCTCGCTGGCTCTGCCACTCGACAGATCCAAGTGATGATAAGGACTGTACCACAGCAAGAGTAAGTTAGGTTTGGGTGGCCTCCCACTCACTTCCCCAGCCCCCACGTTCCCTTGGAGGAGGTGGGGCTGAGGGCTGCCTTTCACGCAACCCCTTTGCCCTGGAATCTTCTGGGTCTGCAGCTAGAAGTCCTTCCAGAAGCTGTCTTGTTTCTATGGGGTATATTAATTCTCACCCACAAGTTATCAAAAACATGTTGAGATTTTGATGTATATAAGGATGAGATTTTGAATTATACAAGGATTTGAGATGAAATATCAATTATTTTTCCTAGGACTTCTGTCTAGCCCATAAGAAAGCAGTTTCTGAACAGCCCAGTTTCACTGAGTCGGGAGACTAGTCCAGAGAGCCACTCACGATGAGACCTCCATGGACACCACTCCCACGGAGGTTGGGTGCATACTCTGCCAGGTCCACGGATCGCAACCACTCCATCACCCTGTGGTTGGACCACTGCACAACTTCTGAAGGAGAAAGGTTACTCTGTGAGGGCAAGAAGAATGAAGAAATTAGGTCTGCTAGACCCCACCATGGTGCTGTGTGGAGCGGCCCCTGGGAATGAGCCTGCCCCGATGCCTCCCCAGAAGATGACTCGCACTCCTAAGTGGCTCAGGTAGCAACAGCAGCGGCCTGAGGGCCTTTCCATTTCCAAGACATAGAGCTCTCATGGAACCTTGCAGGATTTTCTACACTGAGACATCTATTTCAGAACCCGGCTATTCCCTCATTCTCTAGTTAACTTTGGAACCAACAGTCCCAAAAGGCACACAGTCATCCATTCAGTCATTCAACACAATTTCACAGTGCACTGTCAATTATGAGCTGAGTGTTTTGTAGACAGAGAGTCTCCCTGGTATGGCCAAATATTTCAGAGAACACACATTAAGATACTTGTGCCTAAGTGCCCTCAAGTGGCAATGGGTCTTCAAAACGCCCAGCTTGTGCCTGACGTGTAGAAGACATTCAACATGTATTTGTGGAATACGGAAAAAGCAGGTGATGGAGGGTAGAGGGGGAAGTCCTTAGTCCCTCAGGAAGCTGAATGAATCTGACAGCAGAGTTAGAGTTAGCTCCCATGAACACAGGAGACAGGGTGCCATCACAACCCTTTCGCTTCAGGGCCCACCAAGAACTCTGCGGTTCATGGAACATTATCAGAGACTTGTCCAGCATTTTGGGTTGCTGTGTCTACCTATACTATTTCTTCTCTAGCAAAACCTGCTCATGGATCCCCTGTGCACCTGGAACAGGAGGTCAGGGAATTTCCTATCTACCAAGAGGGAGAGCTATTCCAAACTGTCAGGTTCCTTAGGGTGCCTCATCTCCTCCCCTCCGCCTCCTTTGACAGCCATCTCTCTGATTTGTCTTTCTCCACCCTCTTCCATGCACCATTTCCTCATTTTCTTTATTATAACAGCTTTGACAGACTTGCTGCTACTGCCTCCTGGCCCATAGCACATGTCTCCCCAAGGGAAGGTAGGCACTTGGAGTGGCTCCCATGGCACACAAAATACAGGCCATGGCGTATCTGGGGTGCCACAGAGCTCGAGCGAAGGAGAGCATCCCACGCACTGTGGTCTGACAGGCAGCATGTCACAGTGATGGTACTCTCATTTTCTCACACCCAGTCGTACAGGGGTCCTGGCTCAGGGCCACCCGGACAATACTGTCCTGCCCTCACCTCATCGGCTGGCCGCCGGTGCAGGCAGTGGGGGTTGAACTTGTTGACGTGCAGCACGTGAATGGCACATTTGATGCTGAGATGATGTAGTTGGCTGGTGACTTTTAAGAAGAGTAGATCATTCTGGAAGAGGAAGGTTTTGGTTGATGAACCAGAGTTTCCAAAGTGACAAAACACCCCTGAGGTTCCTTCCCAGATGAAACACAGACAAGTCAACCCCGTCTCAGCAAGTGTACATGGGCACACCGACAACTTTTCTTCCCTTTTGTACTTGGTGTACTTGGAACTGCTTGGAACTGCTTGGAAGTAGCACTTGGCTACTTGGAACTGCTTATGTGACAACTGACATGATTTTAAGACCTTAAGAATGTGAGGGAGGTGATGGAATCAAGTTTAAAATAGCCACCACAGGGACACCTGAGCTGGGTGCTCACAGGAACAACCAAAATATTGATAGGTAAATCCTTACCACAGTTAAGTATTGCAGCATGCGCCCGTCAACTCTGGATTCATGAAACTGGTCTTTGTACTGGGGTAAGCCAATATCATCAAGCCAACCTGCAGAGAGAGGAAGAAACAGGGGCGTCAGGATTGCTGAGAATGGGAGAGTGTGGATGCCAAAACAAGGGGGCTGCGAATGATCATTTTGGAGTTCCAGCTGCATTCCCCATAAGGTTTAGTAATCCATCTGCCTTTCCCAAGGAGACAGCTGTCTCTGCGGCACATTCTCAGGGAAGTCTGTCTACCCCGAGGAGCTCCCAGGAACATTATACACATATGCCTGTCCTTACGTGTCACCCAAATGTGGTCTAGAAGTGCAGACTTCTCCTCCTGCTTTGTGTTAATGGCTTTTACTGCTAAAACCAGCTTCTTCCTATGAAGAGGGTGCTTAATTCCTAGCTCCTGAAATTGAAAGATGAAGACAGATGTGAAATTTCAGCAGGCAGCGTGGCCCTCCAAGGATGCTCTGTGGGTGTAGATATTCCACCTGAATGGCAGTGGAACCTTGCACAGTGTCAAGGGATCAATTTGCAGCAACAGATGGAGTCTTGCTTCCTCTCTCCACTCCCCTGTATGTGGATTGAGGGTGGAGGAGGAGTGGGGCAGGGTGGGTGGGTTCACCTCCCCAGGCATTGATTTGGGGAAAAACGGGAATCTCCCGGTCTCAGGCTCAGCCCTTACCTTTTCCATGTCCTGAGGGGTAGCTGTCAGTAAAGTGTGGCCAGAAGTCACCCACTGCCTGGCAAAGATCACGTACTGAGCCAGGCCGAAGTCCTCCAGCCATGCACACACGCGTTCTGTGCTCCACTGGGCGAAGGGGGCATTGGCGTCACTGGGAAGCAGGAAAACACCCTGTCCCGTTAGTGGGAGGGCCAGAGGCTCCATCCAAACCTAACTGAACCTCACAAAAAGGGGAACGATGTTTTAACAAATGATCCCCACCATGGGATCTAGCTGAAAAAAATTCCACTACAGCACACTCATTTGAGGTAGCCTCGCAGGGGTGTCAAAACTTTTGGCACCTCTGGGCCACACTGGAGGAAGAAGAGTTGTCTTGGGGCACACATTAAATATACAAACACCAATGAAAACTGATGAGGAAAAAGGAGGTTGGTTTTAAGTAAATTTATGATTTTGTGTTGGGCCACATTCATAGCCGTTCTGCACCACATGCGGCCCATGGGCCACAGGGTTGGACACCCGTGCTAGAGTTTCTGGTGAAAACGCCTGGTCTGAACTGCAAATCTGTAGGTGCTGAGAGTGTGGGGCAGGTACATGATCCTTGTGAGGCCATGTTTACATGTGCTGCTGTCCAGGCACATGTGTACATGTGTCACAAGCCCCATTAGGATGAAGAGCCACAACTGAACCATGCTTTCAACAGGGTTCAACACCGTTTTTATGAAAACACTCAGAAACTAGGAAATGGGGGTCAGTTCTCTAACATAAAAAAGAAAACTCCTCCAATCAACAACAGCTAATACCTTATTTATTAATGAAAGAAACACTAGGGGCATTCACATTAAAGCCTATAAAAAAGCCATATTTTAATAATGGAGTAATTAATACAATGGAGATTTATGGAATATTAGGAGACTACCTATTTCAAAAGATTCCTTCCAGGAAAGTACCCCTAACATGCTGGTTAAAAAATATTTTTTCAAATGCCTGGTTGAGTTGTCCTTTAAGTGAGAGAATTCCTTAAAGGGCCAGAATGACAAGAAAATGCTCTTGCCTCTTCCTCTGAGTGACATCTACTTGCGTCAAATGGGGAAGGCTGGGAAGCTCTGCACTAGGAGCTCCTGCCTTCCACCACTGATTCTCTGGCACATCCAGCCCCCACCCCCACTCCAACCGGCCAGGCTTTTGCACGGTTCTTTGTAGGTAGACTAAAGAGACCCTTACCTTTTCTGACCCTTCGGGTCTCTGGTCCTAGAGAGTCTTGGCCCTGCAGTTGCCCGGAGCCCTCCTCGTCGAAATTCTGCCACCCCTGGGGCATCAGTGTTGAAATTTCCTGACTGAGTTCTCCGGATTCTGTGTGGAGAGGCGTCCACGGAGACTGTCAGGGACAGTCTGCAAGAGGCAGTCAGTGCCCTCCTCCTACACAGGGCCACACCAGCCAGGCCCAGGATTCAATGACACCTCTTCCCAGTGCCTCCCCAGAGGTCAAGATCATGACCTGTGACAGCTCCTTGGCCAGACCCAAACCTCAATTCTATTCCTGCCTCTGGGATTTGGGCTACTCCCCATGGGAGTGAAAAGTGAACTCTGGTCATTTCACAGACTGAGTCAGCTGGGTCAGCTTTCTGTCTTCAAAGATTAAGATACAGACTGACCCCTAAAAAGGAAGAAATTGGTCTCACACATGTCTCCCCCAAGGCACAGCTGGCTGAGCTGCAGAGATGTGCTTGGGAGTATGGGATGTAGGGATGCCTAGAATGAATGACATTCAAGGCAGCTGGCTGTATTTAATAGGTGCCTTTCCGAGTTCCTTTCCTCTGAGCCCTCAAAAAGCCACTCAAATTCTTGCCTCTAAACATGACCACTCTACTTTTACTGCTGTTCCAACATCTAATTGAATAGGGGTTTATGTAGACTCTTTGCCTAGCCAGGAAGAATATGAATTACAGGCAATATCTTTACGATCATCACCACCAACTTACTTTCCCCAGAATTTCCTGATGCCTTTGGGGCTCCGTTTACCCTCTGGTGTCAGGGGAGACTGGGGGCCCGACTCGGTGCCAGACGACGTGGAGGAGAAGTCATTGGCCATAGTAGTGTCGTCCCAACCACTTTCTGTGTCTCCTGGGAGTGAAAGGATGGGATGAAGTGTGAATGAGAGGAAGGGAACATGACCTTTAGAAACTTCTCCCCCTGCCTGGGCCATCACCCTTCAATGGGAGTTGGGAAGAGTCTGCCCAGCTCTGCCTTCAGGGAAGAACTTCATACCAAGATCTCAATAGGGGACTCAAGCACACTCCAGGTTTCTCTCTGAGATATTAGTGAGCTTAAGATTTCAAATCTGGATGAGCTCATGTCTTCAAATTCTAAAGGTGTGGGGTTCAAGAACTCGCAGGTAATTCCAACAAGGAGCTTGCTTTCTTTTTCCCAAGGGGGACTGGAGAATGCAGGCAGATGGGGGGAGGGGACCTGGCTGAGTGTTCGGGAGGGGGTGTCAGGGTAGAGAAACAGGGCATCTCACTCTCCACCTCACCTGGAAGGGTACAGTACCTAATACGGGGGCACTGACACTCCGGCCACGATCTCCAGCCAACCAAGAAGCAGAGAAGCCACATGAAGAAGCAAGAGAGGCCCAAGTCCAGCCCACCAGAGTTACAGGGAAGCAAAGAAATAAACAAGAGAGTCATCAAGCAAGAGAGAAAAACTCAAACAGAAAGTAAAATAACCCACAAGGAAGGGAGGGAGGGGTGCATGGTGACGAAGCCGGCCCACAGGGTCAGGGCACTGAGAGGAAGTTTCATGTGAGGGGACCAAATGCTCCTGGAGCCACTTCCTGGCAGGTGGAGTAGCCACACACAGGGATAGGGAGGGAGAATGGCAGGGGCTGAATACACTGGGACCCACACAGCTTGGGCAGGTGCCAGGGCTCATTTAGTCAAACTAGAATGTTCAAAGCTGCCGAGAGTCTGAGTGTCACCAGGACATAGTCATTCAAGGGCTTATCTGGAGTTCCCGCAGCCAAAGGCAGAACTGGCCGAGGACAGAAGCCAACACATGGGCTGGCACAGGGACAGCCGGGGGTGAGGAGTCGGGGTAGGGGAGCCCTGCCAGGCCTGGGACATTCCCTGCTGGGCCCCATTGATTGGCTGCTGCTGTTGGGCCTTTTACACATGAAAAGCAGCAAAGACCTCCACGGTCTCAGGTCCTAAGCACCAAAAGGATACCTGTGGACTGACATCCTTGCCCACTGGCCACTGATTCCATTTCTCTAAGGAAATGCTCTCCCTTGGAAGAGCCCATAATATCATCCTACTGGAAATAGAGAGGCTGCAGAGAGGAAGGCAGAGACAGGAAAGAGAAGATCAGGATGACAGAGGAGGGAGAAAAAGGGATGGGAAGGGCAGAGTGGGAGTCAGAGGGAGGGAAAAGAGGAATGATGGGAAGGACAGGAAGGGGTTCAAGAGAGGAGGAACAGAAGAAGAGAGACAGGGGTGGAGTAATTGCAGCTGGAAAGAAAAGGTGGGCATACCCCTTGGTTTTCTGGGCTTCGAGGTGTTTACTGAAGGAAACATTCTGCACCAACAGGGAGCCAGAGTCTCGGGAAGCGGTATGAGTTGTCCCATTCCCCCCAACCCCCGTCATGCCCCATCTGTGGGCTGCAGTGGTGGGCACAGAATCTTGTGCAACAATCGGAAGTGCAAAGGCTACTGCTCCAGGGGCCACCAGCGCAGGGGCTGGACACTCACTTAGCCTCAGCAGGCTGTTTCCTGTGGGGTCAGGCTGAGAGGCAAGGGGAGTAGATTTGGCAGCATCTCCATTGGGCATGGCTCCTGAAAGCTTCCCAGGCAACGTGGGGTATTTGTGCTCCGCCGGGAAAGGGCTGTCCTGTTGGAAGGAGAGGTGCTGAATTAGCTGTCAATCTCAGACCCAAACCCAGTTAGGAAATCTCTGGCTGTAGGAACAACTCCTTGTTCTCCAAGAGTCATTTTTTTCACTCATGGAGACTCAAAGATCCATCAAAGATCATTTAGTCCATGTCAGGCAAGGGGACCAGAGTTCTGAGAAAGGAAGAAACTTGCCCAAGGCCACACACAGTGACACAGGGATGGAGTGAAGGCCAAATTCAGGGCTGACAGCAACTGACTCTAAGCAGAAAGTGGAGCCATGTTGCAAAGGGAGCCTTTGCATTCTGTCTAGTGCTGAGGCTCAGTGAATTAACGGCTGTAAATTACCCTTTGAGCTCTTTGAATATATAAGCCAGAATTATAATAAAAGCTATTGCTTTATTATATAATAATATATAACATTTAATATGTTATATATAGCTAATATATATGTTAATTATTATATATTATGATAATAGTAACTTTGAAAAATATCAGATTAAGGCAAAATGAGAAGGTGTATGTATGCACTTGGGGGAGATGGCAATAGAAAATGAGTGAGCAGCCTTCGTGCCAACATGGGGTCCCCTAGGAACTTAGGGTCATAGTCTGCATGAGGGTTAGCCTGATCCAATGGGCCCAGGTCATAGAAAGTGTCCCAAAGACACAAGTTGATTAAAAGGGAAAGGAGAATTGGACTTAGGGTCAAGAACGTTATAATGGCCCCTAAATTCACAAGCCTGAGGGAAACATGGTGGAATGCATTTGACTAAAAATAAAAGAACACGAAAAATCAAAGCAACATTACAAAGGAAGTCAACTGCCTGTCACTTGGTTGGACTCAGAAGAAAAGTAATATGGAAGGCAAAGCTGATGTCAAAACAGATAAGTCAGATTAGAAACAGGACACTTCTGCGACTGAGACACCTTTTGAAGTTGTATTTAGTTTGCAGCCAAGTGCCCAATACATTTCTGAATTCAGTTTGCCTACAAATGCATGTCCTAGAAATTGTTTGAAATCCAATTCATTTGTTGGACATTGGGCATTTATAGGGCATTAGTAGTCAGAAAGGAGGGACATAGGAAAAGTTAAGTAAATTCTCAAAGAATTCTGAAAGAATGGCTGGTGAAGTAAAAATCACCAGAACCTGAGTGATGGAGACCACGTGATTTTTAAGTTCACAGTGAGCCATAGGTAGAGACAGGACCTGCTCGGCCATGGGCTTAAGATCAACAGTTTCCAAGTACTAGTCCATGGACTAGCTGCTTCCTAATCATGTGGGGTGCTTACAAAACCCATATAAATTTCCAAGTTGCAACTCGGTTCTAGGAATCTGTGTTTTTAACAAGCATCTCAATCATTCTGATGCATAGTCAGGCCCATGAACCACTGACTGTGGGGAAGTCAGAATTCAGAAAGCTTAGACAATTGAAGGGTATGACTATACATATAGGAGTGAGGAAGACTCAAAACAGATTTCCAGTTGTGTCATCACTGGAAATCTCCTGCAACAGGGCAGAGTCAACCACGGCCACTGCCATGGCCATGGCCTGGGAGCTTGCTGAGCTGATGTAAATAAAGCACGTGGACCTAACCCAAGGATGGACTTCAAAGGTGGCCAGACCAGTGACAAAGACAACAAAACGAACTGAAGGCAACAGAAAGGGCTCTTAGCTCCCTGTTCAGCCAAGAAGAAAAGGTAAGAAGAAAGAACTCATTGCAGGAGAAGGTCAGGAGAGGACAGTGGAGACAGAAAGGCTTGAACCAGGCCTGCTTCCCTGGTCTCCAAGAAGAGAATGCCGGGCTGTGGAGGAACAGAACTCCCAGCCAGGCAGCAGCATATAACTGATTGCCCAACACACAGAGGCAGCATACTGGTGTGGGAGGAGCCCAGGCATTGAGTCAGACCAACTCAGACAAAGCCCTTTCTCTTAAGCCTTTCAGAACCTTTTATCTTTTCTAAATAGAGAAAAACAATTCCTGCCTCAGGCCTAGCACATAAACAGAGGCACGGAAAAGATCATGTACCAGGGCCTGGAGTGACAGCAATACAAGAGCAGCCTCCAGATGGAGGAAGACACAGGGCAGACCCATCAGGACATCATGCACAAGTGTGGTCCAGGGCACAGTCAGAAGATCCATCCAAGGAGACTGATAGGAATGCCAAAGGTTTGTGATCTGTGCACATGAGAGGATGTCCCACTCAGAGTGGGCCCGAGGGACTCAAATTCCAGAGCTGTCAGGAGCAGGGGAGAAGGACTTATGCCATAGGCCCCAGAGGGAGAGCCAGTATCAGCGAGGCACGTGCTAGGGAAGCCCAGAAGATGTGGCTCAGAAGCAGAGCCAGGAGAGAGTACAGGGCGTTTCTTACAGCGTAACAAGCTCTCAGTCACCAGTGTTAGGGGATGCTACAGAAAGATTCTTGTGGCTGATGCTGAGTGCACTTCTGTGTTTTTAACCATGACATAGGAGCACAGAAAGAATGAGAGCTACCACACTCCTTTAATTGTGTACGGAGAGCACACCCCTTTCCCAAAGGTCATATCTATGTTGCCTGGTTAAAGGTGAATTTCTTTGAGCCTACAGAACAAAGAGGATAATCAGAAACCCTTCCCCACAGATACTGGAGGGGAAAGCACATGTTGGTGCACATACAACAAAACAGGAGTTTTTGTCTTTTCTCTTACCCTCTTACCCCTTAGAGTTAGCATATTTTAAGGTTACAAAAGCTATAATGTGCTAAATGAAAACACTCTAGGAAGCAATGCAATCACATACAGGTGATAGGGACATATACTTAACGTACCTTGGGCTCTCCCACTGGGGAGAGTTTGTTCCCATCAGCACACTATGGAATGACAAAAAGATTTCGATTATATGGAGAAAGAGAGACCTGTGTTAGTCATAAACAACAGCTCAGGACCAGCTGGAATCTGCAAGTCTCATCCTCTCCCTCCCTATTGCTATGTCACCATCCTAGTCACCATCCATGGCAGGAAACACAGACTGCTGTCCAATCCCACAGACAGATGTCCTGGGCAGCTGCCAGAAGTCTGACCAGGAAGAGCAAGAGGCACGTGACCATGGAGCAAAGCTATGGAATGGGCCCGCAGCTCCTGTCACCTCCAGCCCTTACGGTTTTCCACTGGGTCACCAGGGAGGCTGGAGCACTGCTGGAGACCAAGGAGTCCTATGCAGTGGGGCTCAGTGAAGGTGCTTTATCAGGGCAGGACCCCTTGGTCCTCGATGTCCTCACTCAAGAGCCGGTGGCCACCTCCTTCAGCACAGGGGTCACCCACATTGTCAAGAGCTATGCTTATAAGGGGCCACAAAGCCCTCCGCACCTTTCCAGACTCTTGCAAAAGCTTCCTCTCCAATCTTCTCAATTATCCTGTAGCTCACTCCTGGGATCACCTCCGTTACCCACATTACTTCCTCATTCAGAATCTCTGTAATACTCTTAGTGCCTAAGGAATACAGGGCCAGTATTTGAGGTCTTCTTGGGCTTGATATGCCTCGTGATCCTGACCTTACCTCCTCTTGCTCCCCATTTCCCAGAACCTGCCTAGGCCCTCCTCATCAGCCACAGGCAGCATTTCCTGACTTGCTTGGCCTCTATGATGCCTTGGGCCACATCTGACTAGTTTTCTCAAAATGTGTAATTTCTGCCTCCCTGTTAACTTTATAAAAACCTCTGTACGGTGGGCACCAGGACCTCGCCTGTGTGTCCCAGTACTGTGCTGGGTACCAAGAAGTAACTCAGGAAACTTATGGAGAGACTGGTGGGCTGACCTTATCCACAGAGTCACTTCTCAAGTCTTCTAGACTGCAGGAGTGTTTCTTCAGAGCCCTGGGAAAACACAAAGAAAGAGTTCCTGGAGAAGAAGTTTTGGAGTATCGTCCATGCAGAGGGCATTCCAAATGTTTAACCAGTAGTCTGTCTTGGGCTCTGGGTCAGGTCGGGAAAAACCACCCTCTCATCATCACCATTACATGTAAGATGAGACTGGCCCATCTGGGGACAGCCAATGTGTTGGTGAGGGCATGAGAGCATCACTTAAATCCAAATCAAAAGTCCATTCCTCAAAAAGCTAGAACACACTAAATTACGTTGCATTAATGTGAGCTGACTGTTTTGTGGTTGTAAAAGACCAATGTCTACAGACTCAAAGAGAGGAAAGGTGTCAGTATTGCCTTGTCTGGGGGTCTAAGAGTAATCCAGGGAGGCGAAATTACTTTAGAGTGGAGACGAGCACATCAGCCAGCGCCAGCCCCAAAGCATTACCTGCCAGAATGTCCCAACCCTCTGCTCTGGCTCTGTATATCCTGACAGTCTGCTCAGAGGAATTTGCTTTCTCAGGTGCTGTTTCACAGAGAAGGGCACCACCAATTGGATAGAGATGAGGTGACCTTGTGACAAGTCTCCTGGGCAGTGATAGCTCTCAGTTCATGTGAATAAATCAGCACCTGTTTGTATACTAGTCTCCTGTTGAGTCTGGTCAGTGTGAGTTATTCAGTGATGACTTCCTCCTGAGTGAACTCATAAACCAAATTTCTTATTCTGCTAAACTAAGGACAGGCTCATTGCCCTCTTTGACACTACCACTTGCTCTGGGACTAAAGGCTCATGGAAAACTGGCCCTTTGGGAAGTGGGGCTGTGAGAGTGTAGGCTCTGGAGACTCAGCACCATTCTGGGGAAGCATCCATCATGCTGATAGCCACCTTCTCCAGACACTATGGCTGAAAGACAGCCTACTCTGGGCCGTGAAGCTCCGTATCTCCATTACTTGGAAACGTGCTCTCAGGGGCTGACATAGGAAACTCAAAATAGGTTCTTTTTAGGGGGAACCAGACAGATGACAGCCAAATGACCCCCCGGGCAGCCCATTATAAGCTCATTGCTATGCAAAGCTTCCCTAAAGCAACTGGACCAACTTCCCTGTAGGAGAAATGACCCTTCCTAGAGAGCATGGCTCATTCCAGGGTTAGATTCACCCTGAGAGCACACATATCATGATATCCTCTTAGCTCTGATGAACCCCTGGAGGGCACAGATGAGGTGCAGCTACCCCTCCTCTGAGGATCTCACCCCTGGCCAGGGCTCTTCTCAGTGACAATGACCCAGACCCTCAGCTGTGGGAAGGGGAGCCCCTCTGTGGCCAGGGGTGATAGGCATGGCTTGTGTTTGGTGCCATTATAGCCGCTGCTGGGGCCTGGATTGCTGTCCTGATGGTGGCAGGGCAGGTGTGCCCAGGGCATGGTGGTCATGCTGGTCATGCTCATCACATGAGGGGCCTGAGGGTACAGTGGCTCTGGGGAAATGCTTTGGCCTCCTACCTGGTTTCCAGTGATTTCTGTGGAAGCGGAGGTGGCTCCCCTATGGGAGAGCTACATCTTGGAGGCAACTGTATCAGAAAGAGAAGAGTCGTCATAGAGGACAGTCACTGTTTGGAGGCCACCCACCACCCTTTCTCCTTCTTTGGATGATTTTTCCTTGGGAGTTACATTTTTGCCCCTGGGTACAGCCACGGTGGCTACGCAAATTCTGGTGCTTTGCTCTTTCAGGATACAAAGGAGGTGGGTGTAAATGAACAACCTGGGTCAACGTGCCTCTCCTTCCTGGGCCTAAGTTCACCCTAGCAGCAGAGTCCTGACAAGAGTTCTGAGACTTGAGCCCCAGGGCTCTTGCTGCCCCTGCCCTTTCTGAGCTCAGTCCTTCAGCTTCTCCTTTGATTTAGTGAGCCACTGTTCACCTTTCCAAAAATATTTTTTTGCATAGGTTAGCCAGAGTAGACCTCTGTTGTTTGCAGTGAGCAACACTGCAACTGATACAGTCTCTCAGCAAACGTGAGCACCATCTACTACCTGCCAGGTCTGGAGCTAGGTGTGGGACCAGCGCACCCCATATCAGGGAGACAGACAAGTTAATTAGGATAAAAGATCAATGTGACATGTCCTTATGGCACCAATACCTGTAACATGACATGGGGATAGAGAAGATGCAGAGGCTCCTCTCACTGGTGGGAAGGTTAGGAAGGCTTCAGAGGGAAGGTGACTTGAGCTGACTCTTAAGAACTGAGAACAGGTTCACCAAGGTGAGAAAGGAGAGAGCATCACAGGGGGCATGGACTTGAGCTAATGGTGGTGCATAAGGACGCAGTCCTGTGTCTTCAGTATTAAACTGACTGGAAAGACCACCTCTTTTCTCTAGTGTGCAGAGTCTTTTTGGTCTCCTGTAGAAAGGGCCCTGGCAACATAGTACAGTTGTTAAACCCTGGCTTTTTGGTCAAATAAACCTAGCTTCAGGTCAAGATTCTGCCATCTAATTGCTGTGTGACCTAGAGCAGATCACTTAGCCTCCCTTAACCTCCGCTTTATCACAATAAAATAAGAATCCCAATGGGGTGTCATGAGGACTAAATGAAGTGAGCCATATGCGGTGCTCATCACACTGACGCACAGAGGAGTTGAGTCTGGATCAGTTACTGCTATCTTCTTCTTGCCAGCAATCTGGGATGTTTGCTTTGACTGGGTAATTGGGTCATCGGGTGACACTTTTACTCTTTCCTTAATTACAAGGGTTGAGCGTAGACCACTAGGATCCTCTTCAGTTTGGCTATCCTGGAGTTTCTTGAATTTTTTAGATCCTAGACTAAAGCTCCTTCTCTACCTGAGCTCTTATGTATGAGTTTGCTTGTTTGTGCCTATCCTAAGTTCAGAGAGGTTCATATAAAAATAAGCAAAAGAAGAGAAGGAAAATCTACATGCTGATTATAGGGTCTACAGGGGACATTTGTAAAGCAGGAATGTATCACCTCCAAACTGGTAGTTATCCCTCTAAATGAGCAAGACACGTCCATACATTCAAGAAATATTTGTTGAATTCTACGGGGTACCAGGCATTACTGCAAACTTTGGAGAAACAGTGGTACGTAAAAGTGACAACACTTTTGGTCTATGCTTACATTCCAAATAGGAAAGACAAAACAAAAAAAGAAACTGGATTGAAAAAGAAAATTCCTACCCTTGAAAGTCCAGTATCCCAAGCGGAACACAGACCTGTGCCTGGGCCCCCTGCTGTCCTGGGCCTCTCTCCCCAAGGCCCCCAGGGCCACTCCATTGATTTAAATTTTCACCTGTCAAGGTCTATACCTAACAGTTGCCTGACTAGATCCTCCCCCATGCTCAAAGTAAGCTCTTAGGACCTGCTGAAACCCTATATCATGGATGTAAACACAGCACCTCTGGTTTAAATAATTCCTCGGGACCTTTATTTGTAGTATTCCGTTTTCTGAAACTTCCTTCCAGCTCTTCCTCATTGATTGAAAGACTTCTCTCTGAAGGCCCTGGAAGTATTAATGCACAAAAGATGGTCACTATTATAATTGTACACAAAAGTCTAACGCTGTTTTTTCTTCATGAAGAAAGACTAAGCAATATACACAGGGGCATTAAGAGTGATTTGGAAGATTCTTGGGGGCATCTGAGCAATGGCTGCCAAGGGGGAGGTCTCAAGGTCAAAGCTCCTGTGTGGAATAGAGAGAACGTACCACATGGTAACCCTCTCCAACCTTACGACTCCTTAGCCACAGGCAATCAGGTCCTGAGAGTGACTTGACCCAAGATCTCAAAAGATTAGAGAAAATGGGGCAGTGACATGCATACAGGGGTAGGGTGGGAGGAAGGGGGCTTACAGGCCCTGGGCAGTGACCAGTCAGTTATAACTCAGTTTGGGGCTCAGTTTCTTCTTAAGATAAGGCAGCCAGAATCAGAGATTCCTGAGTACCCTCAAAGCCACTCCCTCCAAAGACACAGCGGCTTCTTCAGGATCTGTGATGGAAGCCCAGGTCAACAGTGTGAACAACAAGGCAGGCAGCCTGGCACATGCCCCACATTGCCCATAAAATATGAATGCTGCCTGCATGTGGCGTTCAGCCTGCACAGCAAATATGAAATGCAAACAGTTATCCCTGCCCTGTGATTTCCTGTGGAATTCTAGGCACCTAAAGACTCATAGAAGCCTCCCTAAGTCCCTGGGGAGTCTGCTGGAGAGACCTTCACATTCTCCAGGAGGTGGACAAGCTTTAATCCCCAACAAGGGCACTGAGCTGATTTCTGACCCAGATTTGATTCCACTCACTGACTCTCCAAGGGGTAACCTGGGAAGATGCTTAGGAGATCCTCCAAGGGTGGGGGCTCCCAAGGGCTCAATTTGAAGGCTTGATTTTCTTGGTGATCTTGATAGTCCTTGAGAGTTCTGAACTGAATGCCACTGGACATTTCTGGAGGTCTTATTTATTTATTTATTTGTTTTGGATTGCATGATGCCTTTTTTATTTCAGATGTTGTAGATTGCAAAATCTTTACAGTTGGAACAATGTTCTCCATTTTGCATTTGATTCCAAAATAGAATCCCAGCCAAAAACAGCTTGTGAAAAGTACAAGGCATTAATCACTGTCACTGCTATCACTAACTGTGACCTCACCATACATGATGGGAGGTGGGGGAGGGAGGAGCAATGCTTCATTTTATTCGGTATTTTTCTATTCTAAGGCAAAATTTCAGGAAATCTTAACAGCTGCCAATTTCCTACAATTCCAGACAGTCTAACCAGTTCTGTCCTCTAGCAGAGGGTCTTCCCCAACTCAAGATAAAGAATCTTCTGGCCAGACTGCCCCTGGATTTAACCTCCAGTAGCTGGAATACCTCCGAGGGAAAATGGTGCTTTTACCTTGAGTTGCCAGCACGATCTCCTTCACCCTTCGGTACTGGTTTAACAGCACTGTGAGCTCCTCTATCCGACGGTCCTGTCACAGTGCAAGAGCAAACCCACATGTGAACACCACCACTGGCACCTCTGGTGAGTTCATCTGGGGGCCCGGGCTGTGCTCTGCGCCCACTGAGAGGGGATGCCGTGTGGAAACACGGTGTCTGGGCCCATCCCAGGGCCTGGCTTCTCAGTAGTCTGCCTCCCAGGCGGCTGCAAGCACACTTGCCTCTCCCTGAAGGCTGAGTCCAGTCTCTAGCCATAAAACAATCCCTGTCTGCAGGGCCTTTGAGGGGCTGAAACAGTTCCAGAAGCAGAAACTCACGGTCCCCCCACCCTCCTGAGGTAACCATTAAAATTTGCCTCCTGATCCAAATTTTGTCCTCTGGAGCTACACACACAAAAAATGAGAAGATTAAAATAAAAATGTCCATTTATCCAAATATTTTTGCCTGTTCTTTAGGAGTCTGGGGTTCCTCACACAACAAAGGACATTCCCAGAGGGTCTACTTTTTTCAGCAGAGGCCTAGGAACTTGGGAGGCCACACAGATCCTGGAGTAAGACAAACTGGTATAAACTCTAGCTCTGCCGTCTGCTATTACCCGACCTTGGGCAAAACTACTAAAGTACTTTGAGTCTGTTTCCTCATCTGAAAAATTCGGGTGTGTGATCCTTCCAAGCTGATGTGTGTGCCAGGTGGGTCTTCTATATGTATAGATTTATTTCATGATTACGAGGGAATTACATGTGAAGAATATATGACGGCAGGGTAAGCAACATGCTGCCCAGTGTCTCTGTGACGGGTCTATCAGTGGGTCACACATGTGGGAGACAGGTGGACTATACACGAGTTTTGCTAGGAGGCTAAGCAGTAGCTCTAACCTGTAACCACACTGGTATTTTTTTCCACCACACCAGCATGAACAGGCACAGCTTTTATCTGCCTTTGGGAAATTCCATTTAGGCCAAGTTCCCAGACATCAAAGACAACAACAGGTGGCTGAGGCCTGGTCTCTAGGAAGCAGAAGCCATTCTGACACAGCCCGGAGTCAATGGCCTGATGGGCATGGCCATATCCAAAATGTCAATGACCAGCAGGGACCAAACAGAGCCAGGGAGGTCAGCAGGTAAAAGACAGGTTGCCCAGTCTTACCTTATCTTCATTGGCAATAAGTAAAGTTTCCATCCCAATTTTCAGACGTTGAATTTCTTGGTCTAAAAGAATTAAGGTTTGGAAAGAATTATTTATATAAATGCAGACAGCTATCCCCACATGCTAAGATGCTCCTCAAGTGAAAACTTGAGGACTCTCCATGTGAATGAATTACACATGGGCGTCTTTACGTCTTTAAAGAGCCTATAATGGTGTCTGGCATAGAATTCAGTCTCATCAAATATTTGTTGGACTCATAAATGAATGAACCAATCATCTTATCTTCCTTTATAGATAATTGTGGGGAAAAAACAAAGTGTCATCTACTCAAATGTGACACAGAGAAAAATCTTTCATAACTAACATCTCACAAGAATACTGGCATATATCCTTTATAACTTGAGTGGGCATATACCTGGGCTGAAACTAGTTTTAAAGAAAATCACACAGTCCCATGGACTATAGCAGAGAATTTAAAATAAACTGGGGAGAGTAGAATTCTACAGTTGAATGGAAACTGGGAAAGAATGATTAGGTAAAAGAGTTGATTACTTACTTTACTACAAAATGGAATAGTCAGAACTGACTACCAGATGTTTAGATACATCTGCATCTAAACTCTACTGCTGAGGAAAACAACCCTGTTTCATTACACATCTACAGAATGTCCCTATGGGCTGAGGGGTCTGTTTCAGTCTGTGATGGATAATTCAAGGCCTTCTCTCACTTTCAACCCAACAGAGTCTTTCTTGACTTCTTCCAAAGTGGTCTGGAGAGCCAGGTCAAAGGCCAATGCCTAACACAGCTGGAGGTCACTCTGCCAAATATTTAGAGGCCTAGGAAGTGGCACATAGATTTTCCAAACAAGGATACACCCATACGCAAACTGGGCACTGTATAGAGAGAATAGACGTCTCTATATAAGAAAAGTACAGGGGACAAGGGAACCAAAGTATTGGCTCCCCCAACTGCTTTTAGGATGTTGCTATATCCAACAAGAATAAAAAGAACAGATTTATGTACTTGGTATAAGTAGCTTTAGGGCTATATTTTCAGAGGAAAGTGCAGAGTACTTGCTTATTATCTTAGGCTCTTGGCAGCTGAAGGCCAGTTCTGCCACCCAGCAAGTGGAGGGAGCAGCAGCTCCATATGAAGACTAGAACACCCTGATGCTTTGAGCAGCAAATGGCCAAAGGACCAGCTCCAAGACGTACCTGATGATGGAATGGGGTAGGGCCTGGAAGGCTTGGACTGTGGAATAGCATGGGGGTGCGGGGGAAGGCTGTCTGATCCATAAGTCATGGACTGGGGAGCCCTCTGTCCTGGTTTAGTATCACAGATAATCTAGGAGGATCCCTTAGGGGGATGCAGCCTCTACAACAGGCTTTGGTGAGTGAGTGACATGCTCCATGGTTGGGAAGAGAAAGCCTGGGAAAGGGATTAGGATATTGGTAACCACTTCCTTCACTAGCCTAAGCCACTGCTCCATGTCTATATGGCTTTCCCACCCCAGCCAGAAATCTGAGTTAAGCAGTGCTTGGCCAAGATAAGATTAGGTAACAGGGCCAATCCACAGGGCTATATGATCTCCTTCAGCATTATTCTGCAGCCTGAGCTAAGAGGAAAAGTGGGAAGATGTTTGATCATTTTGTATACAAAATAAATACCGTAAATACTAAATATGTGCTGATAAGAGGATTTACCTTCTAGTTTTAATCACCCAGACTTGAACTCCTTGAGGACCATTCACCATCCTTCTATTTATTCAATAAATATTTCTTAGGAGCCTAACATGGTCCAAATACTAGGCTCTAGGCATATGGTCTTAAAGAAAAGACAGAAATAGTCCCTGTCCCAGAGTGACAATGACAGTCTATACAAAGAGAACCCCCAAAATACAACACTGACCAGGTATAATATGTGCTATGGGGAAAAAACAACACTGACTTAGAAAATAGGATTGAGAGCATCTGCATGAGGTAGGGTGGCCAGGAAAGGTCTTTCTCGTAGGTAACGTTTCTGACAGGTTGAGATCTAAAGGATGAGAAATAACTAATTGTTTCTGTAAACTCAGGTCCTTGTATAAGCATCAGACAGGTATCCATTAAAAGACTGAATGAATTGCTAACACCTCCCCTTTGGCGATGACATAAAAACATGCCCTTTCAATCAGGTAAACATCTAAAGCTCCAGAGGTGACCACACAGAGATTCAATGGTCAGAATGCATCTCAGAAAAGCCTCCAGAGCTGAGCCTTCTGGACAGGAAAGGGGTTTGTGGCAGTGATCCTATGACAGAGCTGTGCTTTATAGGTCCAGTCATGCACACATGCATGCGTCCATTCACTGGGTCATGTTTGCACACATATGTACTTACATGCACATTAGCATGCCTACTACACAGGCATTCACATACTCATCCACAGACACACATGCCCACTTATAAGAGGGGACACAGGACTCAGGGCTCTGACTGTGACAGAATGCACAGTCAAACCAGTTACCTTTCTCTACATGATCACTGTGGAAAGCTGCAGTCCGGGAGAGCTGGCTGTGCAGACGCTCAATTTCTGCATCTTTCAGGGCCACCTGCTCTTGCAGTTGGGCCACCTCAGCCTAGAAGAGAACAGAGGATCCCTACCAGTTCAGAGGGACTACGGAACTGTAAAGAAGTATCTCAAGTCAGAGCCCAGAGCCAGTGGGTCCTAGGATATGTTAGGAAATTAGGAGCAGTGGTGCCAGAGGTGAGCAGTTAGAGGTGCTCACTGCCCTCTCCACAAGGTGGAGCTCTGCTGAAGACACTCATTCTGTCTGGACATTTTGGCCCTGTCTGTCCCTGGCTGTTCAACTGCTCTTGTCCTACATCCTCCCACCAGACTAGGCTCTTGCCATCCCCTGCCCTCTGTGGTCCAAACACCACTGAGGTTGGAAGAGCTGGGACTGTGTGCAATGGGAGGGCTGCCCTTGGTCTGGAAACAGATAATCACTTTTTGGATGTGGTCTTCCTTTTCCCTAGATAGTTATGCAACAGCATGTATGTACTCCATTGTTGCAAGTACATGCATTTTTCATTTTTCCACCCCATTGAAGAAATAACTGGAAATCAAATCACTAGTGGTAGACAAAGAGTGAGCAAAGAGTTGTCTCCCTCAAACACTCTCCCACCCTTTGTGCATAGCCACTGCCTCTGCCCAACCTCCAGGCACCTGTGCACACTCACCCACACGTACATATGTGCAAGCACTCAGGTGTGCTGAGCAGAAATACTTTTACAAATAAAGCAGGTAAGTACAGCCCCACCAGTGCACACACACATTTGTGCATGTACACACATGGGCAGGTGCAGTGCATGGTTCCTACATCTCGACTGCACATAGCAGGTTAAATCTCACACCGGACAGTAGGTGTGGCTGTGTCCCTGATTCCACATACTCATTAGAAGACCAGAATTGTGCAGGATCCATCTCAACAGGCACATTGCCTTTGGAGTCAAACAAACTTGGATTTTCTCACTTCCTGTTGGGTGACGTTGGGCAAGTGAGTTAACCTTTCTGAGTCTTAGCTCATCTATAAAATGGGGAAAATGGCATTTACCTCGTGGGGCTGTAGAGAGCATTAAATAAGATAATGGTTATAAACAACTTAGCCTAATGCTTGGTAGATAGTAAGCATTCAATAAATGCTACTATTGGTGCTCACATTCTGTTCCTTCCCTTATGATCCTAACTAGCTAGTTCTCTGAGCATCAAACCAGACTGAGGTTGAGAACCAACCCCTGAGCCAGGCAACAAAGAACACAAGACTTCTACTCTGGCTGCACCCGCCCTATATGGGAGTCCAGTCACACCCTGCCTTCATTCCTCAAGGTTATGGAATGGGCTGTCCTTTCACACAGAGGCACGAGTTAATCTGTGAACAAATCCAAGTAGCCACATGATCACTGGTCCTGTTGGTGGCTCCTCTGCTGAACAGGCCTGTGTTTAGCTTCAGGACCCATGACTGAGCAGCCACTCTGCGTGGACCCCTATGCTGTCCACTTGCTTACATCAAATTTCCCTCAGCCTCCACAGGAAACCATGGGAAGAAGCAATGTCCCTGCGTATTCCTGGGGAGAAAACAGGAGTCGTGCATGATTCAATGGTCAAGTCACAGAGCCACTTGGTGACCAGGCAAGGATGTAATCCCCACCTGCTCCAAAGCCAGGGTCTCACCACCACAGCAGGTCTGCCTCTAAGATTAACAGAACAAATGAAGCCCTGGCTGGCGTAGCTTTGGGGATTGAACCTGCAACCTAGGTATGTGCCCAGAGTGGGGATTGAACCCACAACATTTTGGTGCATGGGATGACAGACACCCCAACCAACTGAGTCACCCAGACAGGGCAAGGTCAGTCTTAAATATTTAAAACTCTACAAACCAAGTGGCTGAGCCCAACCTCCCATGTGCCAACTTCTACAAAATAGGCCAGAAATGACAGGTGCTCTGATATCCTTTGAATGGTGGCTGTCCCTATAGTTGGGAAGTCAGCAATAGCCCAGAGGTCCTCTACTTGATCCTGAGGACCAAGTGTGCTACTGTCACAGCCACCAAGGCTAGAGCTGGTGTCAGGCAGACATGAGCGCTCTGATTCCTGGCAAGTGCTGGGCCTCACTAAACCCGGGACCATACTCTAATGCTGCTGTCCTGGAAGATAAATCCATTAGGGACTGAGAAGCTTTACAAAGAAAAGCAAAGAACTTTCAAAACCACTGAAGGTTTTTACTGCAGGGAATCAGGATGGTATAGGGAAGAGAGCATGAGTTTTGGAATGACACAGATCCAGATCTGAACCTCACCATGGCTACTCTGAACCTCGGCTTCCTTATCAATAAAATGATGATAAACCGACAGACTTCACCAAGTTATTTTATGGATCGAATGAGGATAAGTATGCAAAGGGCTTGGTACGTTCCGGCACATAGGAGCTGCTCCACACCTGGTAGTTGTTAAATAACTTGGTGTCTCAAAGTCTACATGCCAAGGCAAAGGGCTTAGGTAATTTAAAAAGAAATGAGTAGTTTGGCTTCATAAGAGAAGGTGGTTTGTACAATTTCAAAGGCTGCACCAAGGCAGGGCTCGCCTGACTGGAGCACTGCGATGAAGATTCTGAGTTCTCTGAGGAAACAGGGCTCCTACAACCAGCTACCGTGAACACAGCACACACAGCGGTACGAGTGGATACAAACAGAGCAGTAGCTAAATGGATCTGGAGTGCCTAGCATTGGTGCTGACTAGCTAGCTGTGAGATCTTGGGAAATTTAATTAACCACTAGGTGCCTCAGTTTTCTAACCTGTAAAACAGTTAAGCCAAAATATTATATAGACTATTGACATCAACACTGTGTTCAGAGTTTTCTTTTAATAGCATGATATAAAGTTGTAAATAAATTATCAACACCAGAAATTGAGAGAGAGAGAGACTGAGGGTCCCAATAAAAGAAATGCCAGGAAGGAAATATTAATAGTGGTGGCTCCTGGGTGGTATATGAGTGATTTTTTTTAGTCCTTTAATTTTTTCTAGTTTAACAATTCTCAATAATAAATATAATTGTTTTTATACTAATTAAAAGATAAGTTACAGAAAAGTAAAACAAAAACAACTAGATGTTAAGAAAACGCTACTTAGTAAAAATGAAAGTGTCTACAGGGGCCATGCACCAACACCCGTAGGTGATGCTGTGGAGACCCTAGGGAATGGCAGGTGTGCACCCCACACAGAGGCAGCCCTGCCCAGGCTCCTTCCGGCAGGAATGCTGCTCCAGGGTTGTGGGAGCTTCCTTCCCTCCACTCCACCACCCCCAGGGCAGCCTTCCTCTATTTCAATGTGAAATTTCCTAATATTTAAGCGACAACAAATTCGACATCATTAAATACAACTTTCAGACCAAAAAAAAAATTACGGGCTGAATCCAACCTACTTATTTTAATCTGTACATTTCAATTATTACAGGAAATGGAGGAAGAAATAAAGAAGAGAGGGAAGAAAGTTATTTCACAAAAGAAGTTATCCTTGGTGTCTATTTTTAATATTTTATTTTTAGACAGAGGAGAAGAGAAAGAGAGGGAAAGAAACATCAATGTGTGGTTGCCTGTCACGTGCCCCCTACTGGGGACCTGGAATGCAACCCAGGCATGTGCCCTGACTGGAGATCAAACCAGCGACCCTTTGGTTCGCAGGCCAGCACTCAATTCACTGAGCTACACCAGCCAGGGTCCTTGGTGTCTTTTAAATAGCAAGCTCCCAAATTCAATAAAAACATGATTTGATTTTTAAAAATATTCAAAGTATACATCATTTTTTAAAGGAGTATATTCGTTGCTGAAAATAAAGCATGCTGTTTCAAAAAACTGATTATTAGAGGGATTGGCTAAACTTAAAATGATGCAGACAGTATAACATTGTCATTCATCTGCCTAAGGACTCATCACTCACTCGCTCATTTGCTTGCTTGTTCGCCCCTTCTTGGTACAATGTCAGCTGATGGTGCTATAGGACACAGCAAGAGGGGAGAGACTCAGTTACTTCAGCAGCTCATAATCTTGTGGGCTGCCCTCTTGAGAAGAGCCCTCCTGGGTCAAATCTCTCGGCTGAACAACCTTGGTCACTGCCGCGTGTGCATACAGTAGGGTCTGCTTGCATTTTTCCAGCATGCGCTCCTGCAAACCCAGAGTTTAAACCCAGACACTCCCCACTGGGCCTCAGTGTCTCCCTATAAGCATCAAACTGCCTTTTACCTTAGTGGCCTTCAGCTTCCACTCATACTGATTCCGTTCATTTTCCAACTCTTCCACCTTGATTTTGAGGTGCTTGAGCTCTTGCAGTAACTCCTAGGGACATGAGGGAGAAAGACAAAGTTCTGATGGTTACCGAGCAGGACACTGTTCCCTGGATCTACAACCCTGGTTAAACTCATGCACAGAGGATGCCTGGGGCAAGAGCAACCACGACATACTCTACACTGCAGTTCGAATCTTAAACACGGTGCTGTTTCAGGAGAAGCTGTGTGGCCATTTAAAACGAAGGCCAGGGAATTCTTGACATAAGAAAGAGAAAACTTGCCCTGGCTGGCGTAGCTCAGTGGATTGAGCACGGGCTGCGAACCAAAGTGTCGCAGGTTCGATTCCCAGTCAGGGCACATGCCTGGGTTGCAGGCCATGGCCCCCAGCAACCGCACATTGATATCTCTCTCTCTCTCTCGCTCTCTCTCTCTCCCTCCCTCCCTTCCCTCTCTAAAAATAAATAAATAAATCTTAAAAAAAAAACCATGAAGATGCTCAAATTAAAAAAAAAAGAGAGAAAACTTTCTGCTTATTTTTAGAAGCCGTTCTGCCTGCCCCTTTCTGACACCCACGTCCTATTTGGGGTGTGCCTCCCTCAAACACATATTAGTAGAGGCAGGACAGGTAGGGCTTAGGAGCAAGAGGAAAAGCGATGTAGAAATGAGGAAGCTTCTTACAGACAAAGTAACAGGAAGCAGGTTAATTGGGAGCATCTTTTTGTGCCAAGTGAGGGATAAAGAACCCAGAGGAGGGGTCAGTGATCCTGAAAGGCTTCACAGAGGAAGTGACAGCCAGCAGGACAGACATAAAACACTGAGGAAACAAATGCCAAGTAGCAAAGGCAGAGGCCAGTCTGGGAATTTCAGTTCAGGGAAGGGGGTGGGTTTAAAGGAAGGAGGGAGGGAAAGGCATCGGGGAGAGGATGAGAGATGAGACCAGGAAGATAAGGCAGAGGCCTGCTGAAAAAAAAAAAAGGCTTTGGATGAGAACATAAGGATTTCTGAGGCCACTGTTTGGACAGTAGGGAGCCACTGAAGGTTGCTGAGTGGGGAAGTGATATTTTAACAGCTTTCCCATGGTGGAGCAGGAATCCAAACCCATATTTTCTGACTCCAGGGCCCCTGCTTCCTAAACCATCTCTTCGGCAAAGATGAAACCTTTGATCCAAACCAAGGGTCCTTTAACAGACAATCGGCCCTGCTGACTGGTTCCTATCAGAAAAATTAGCATTAAAAGTGATCTGTCCATAGACTTTCTGGACTCCAGACTCATCTAACAAACTTCCTACTTAACCTGCCCACGTGGATGGCATGCAGGCAACGCATGGCTGGGCCCAAGTGGAACTGTTGTTAATCACCCCATTAGAGTCCCCATCACTCTGCATGGCAGCTCGCCCACCAAATCACCTGTGCAAAACCTGGGGTCCATCCTTGGCATCTCCTCTCCCTTTCCTCCTACATGTGCCATTCATCCCCAAGCCTTGTTAACGCTTCCTCCAAGGAAATAACGTGAATCTCTCATTGTCTCCAACTCGAAACCACTACTCTGGCCTGGCTGTTAGTGTTGCTGGCCTGCACAGGCCCTTCGTTGGGTGCTCCTTTGTTGTCTTACCCTTCTTGAACTCACCGACCCCCACCGCATCCAGAACAATACCACTAAAACACAAAGCTGACCCTGACACAACCCTGCTCCTCAAAGTTCATAAACTTTAACCCATGACCAATACAGCCTGGACTGACACGCGTGCAGCCTGCCTCGAGTATTACCCTGTCTCCTGTTCCTGTTCCTGGTCATGCTCCAGCCACACTGGGAACTTTTTAGTTCCTCTTTCTGACTTGGGCCTTCACACACACTATTTCCTCTGTCGGGAACTGCTGGCCAGGTTAATTCCTGCCCATTCTTCAGGCCTCCCTCAGCAAAGCTATCCCAACCCTCACCCTCCATCAGGTGCCCCTGCTGTACCCTCTTGTGGCAACCTGGATATCTCCCACACCATTTGCAGTTAAATATTTGCTGGTGTGATTGCTAATGGCTAGTTCACCTGCACTGAACTCCATGAGAAGTTTTGCTAACCTCTGGCACAAAGTAGGTATGCGTTATTTCTTGATGAATGAACCCATGAAATTCAAGTCATCGTCTAAGTGGCCTGGAGCTCTTTGCCTTCTGAGATAACCCACCAGAAAGTTATGTTGCTCACAGTTGAATTTTGCAAGGTAATTTATTAAGATTTTCTTACAGCTGAGGGGAACATTTGTTGATGCCCTTTAAAAACATCTTCCACACTTAAGTGTACTGTATCCATGATCTACAGTGTTAGATCTCTAGGCCTGCTAAGAGTTGCAGCTGAGCCAGGATCATTTTCTGAGAACTTTTCTGGCCCTGCCTACGGAAGCGCCCGGCCTATTGACAGAACCGGATGTGTGCAGGTTACTGCCTCAGGGGATGCCACTGTGGGGACCCAGGGCAGGATGCTCTCTGGGCTCTTGTAACCTCCTTGGCAGTTCTCCTTCTAAGCTGTCTGATGCCCATCACCCGCTATGAACACTGGTGCAGATTTTAACTTCTTTTAGAAGTTTTTCTGGTGTAACCATTCAACATGCCCCAGCACCCTCTCAGGTTTCCCTATCCAACTCTAGATTTATATCTTGGCTCCTAATTTTTTTCTGTATCCTTTAATGTAGGAGGAAATCTTCCCCACTGAGTGCCTCCCCTAATGCCTAAGTGTGGGTAGAGACTTTCAACATATTCCACGGTTGAGTATGGGTCATGGTAACTTCCTGCCAGGCTGAGGCAGACCCTCTGCAGTGCTCATAGCTACCGAGACCTGAACTTTCTCTTGGGCTCCCAAGTCCTCTGACAGCGGACCTTGGGGGTGCAGGCTCATCTCTGTATGGCTGCCATCACCAGGCTCCAGTCACGTCACATCAGTGTGAGGGGCCAAGTCCAGAATCTCAGTCGGATACACCCCACAGGGCCCAGAGGTGCTGTAATCCCTTTAATGTGATTATGTGAGGAAATTCTTCTGGAAACTCAGATGATGACTTAATCATCACAACAAGTAAAAACGTGCGTACTGTGTTCTTGCTGGGGAAAAACCTCTTTAAAAATAAACTTGAAAGGATTCTTTCATAATGCTATTTAAAAAAAAAATAAAGGAGATGAAATTTCCTTTCTTCTCCCAGCCTGGAAGAGGGCCTCAGTGTCTGCAGTGTACTGGGGGCAGTCCAGAGGCCTCCTTTTGCTCAGATGCCCAGTACTCACTCCCAGACCAAGGGAGATAAGTGCGCCACCTGTCCACGGGTGGCCTCACCTGCTCAGACCCTGCTCAGTGAGGGTCCCAGAGCTCGCTCAGCTCACGTCTTGCAGGGAGTGTGTGAGTCCCAAATTCTGCCCAGAGGTAACAACAGATCCCTGTTAAGCCACGGCACTCTATTCTGGTTAGGAAAAACCCCAGCCCCGCCACCGGTGAAACACTCCACACATGCATGCTCCGATATACTTAAGTGAGGTTCCTACAGGTGACCCCTCCCAACGGGCACAGTCCTGGCTGCAGGCCTGGGGCTCAGCCACACCGTCGCCGGCAGCCACCTCCTCAGGGTGGTCCCTACTGAGTAAGAGGCGCTCTTGAATCTGCCTGTGGATGTCCAGCTGCAGCCTACACATCTGCTCCTGCAGCTCACTGATCACATTCAGAACTGACTGTAGGAAGGAAGAGAAAGGAGAAAAAGCACTCAGGGTCAGTTGGCTCTCAGACACCGAATTCCCTAAGGGAGCACCATGGAAGGAAGGAAGGAAGGGTATAGAGAGTGAGCAGCAGGGGGCACCCAGCGGGCACTGTTTGTGACCCCTGCTCTCTTTACAGGAACCAAAAGACATGGCACTTTTCCTGAGGCCTACCCCATCCCTGGGCCAGCCTTGCGGTTTGAACAAACACCTGGTAGCTCCTTGTGCCATATGGGGTAGGGTGTGAGGGGGATGCTTGCATGTCAACATCTGAGGCACAGAGTCTAGCCACAGCAGAGGCAGGGGCACATGTAGACACACACCTTCATACACGCCCCATGCTTCACATACCATCCCCCCACCAAAACACGCCAGCCCCTGTGTGCAGGTGACACGGCACAAGCCATGCTCATGCGTGCTAATATGCCTCCAACCCTAAACTCTCCCTCATACACTACACCAAACCCTACTCCTTCATTTCCCACTCCAAACCTGAATCCCCTGTAGCCTTAAGAACACTGTGGCTTTTTATGACAACTTTGAGAATAACTGCAATCCTTGGAATTCACAGCTACTCAATTCTGGATCCTTCACTAACAGTTCTCCTGGCCTTTCCTTTATCTACTCCACAGACATTTAGTGTCACTCTTGCAGTGACCAATAGCACTCACAGGTGAGTGGGGACAGACACACAAAATAACAATCACAACAGCTAGCTAAGAAAACCGCAGCACTTTCAAGGAGCAGTGAGTGACTCTGCCTAGGTCAAGAGGAAGGGGATGGGACAAGTCTCAGTGACATCAAGCAGCCACACTGTAGACCCTGTGCCAGGTGCGCAAGTGAAGGAGATGAAGCATCATGGCCTGGGGAGCAGATGATGATGCCATTCGTGGTGGAAAGGAACCCACAGGCTGGTGAGGACTGTGAGCAGCTGATAGTCAGTTGTGGCAGATACCGGCCAGCAGTATCCATCCCTGCTGCGGATGCTCACCAAAACACGAGAAAAACATACACAGAGACAACCAGGTCCTGTGGGGAAATAGGGACAGAATGGCCACTCTCTCTAGTGGAGAGCATCCCGTCTCCATTCTCAAGCAGATTTTTATTGAGAATACTGACTTAGTTTGTGGATTCACAGTCTGGCAGAAATCATTTCCACAGCCCCGAGTCTCTTCCCAGAGGCCTCCTGTGATCATGCCTGTCTTAGGCGATTCCTTCCGTGGGAAATCTTACCCGTCATTGGCTAACTGATCAAGCTTAGGAGGTCAGGCACAGAACAGGCAGCATTCATGCGAGGGAAATAAGTTTTGTCTCCTTAGTGGCTCCTAATCCAGAGGTCTCTCACTCGGCCTAAGTCATGGGGGGTTATAGCTTCCTGAGACCAGGCAGGGCGGTCCCCAACAGGCAGGGACAGGGATTTAAGGAGACAGCTGGCAGTAGAGTAGAACAGAACTGGGGGGAGAGCAGCCAGTCGAACTGTTTAGCCCCCTTTCTATCACCTTTACCGACATCCTCAGCACTCACACCTGGTGCTGAGAGGTCTACCCCCTTGCACCATGGGTACTAGCCAGGCATGCTGGAGGAGGGTAGCCAACCCCAACAGTGACAGTGTTATCTAAAAGAAGAACAGCTGCCACTCCATATCATGTCATTCTATAAATGTCCCCCCTATTTTAAAGATTTATTTCTAGAGAGAGGGGAAGGGAGGAAAAAAGAGAGCAAGAGAAACATTGATGTGATAGAGAAACATCAGTTGGTTGCCTCTTGTACATGACCAGACCAGAGACCAAACCCGTAACCCATGAATGTGCCTTGACTAGGACTCAAACCAGCGACCTTTTGCTTTGTGGGATAATGTCCAGCCAACTGAGCCATACTGGTCAGGGCTATATATCCCCTTTTCAAATGTAGAAGGGAAACTGAGGGTCTACAGGACAGGTTGGGGGTCTACGGGGCTGAAAGGGTACTGGGCTAAGGCCCCCACGCCAACCTCTTCTTCTCTCCAGTGATGCCATTTGGACTGGGAGAGCTTATGACACTGTCATGAGCAGCCTCTGGCCTTCCAGTCACTCTCCCCTTGAACAAGCTCACCTGTTTTAACCCACAGACAGCCCCAGGTTGTCCTCCCTCAGGGTCATCTGTCTAACAAGCTATTTCCCTATGGAGACCAGAGGGTTGGGGTGAAAAGTCAAGGTGACCCTTGTGGGCCTGAGTAAATGCCCAGACCCCAGACCTTTACTTTCCTTTACTGTTATTGGTCTCTGAACCCTGATGGACTCTGACTCTTGGGCTAGACTATACCTACCCTCTGAGTTCTTACCTACAGGCCCAGTGCAGACCCTGGGCTCTGACTTGGTCTTTGTTCCATGAGCTTCTGAGTCCTGAGCCCCTTGCTGCCTTAGCTCAGATGCCTGACAAGGGCAGAGGATTCCTGCCTGTCTGTCCTCAGCCACTAAGAGTCACAGTCCAGCTCTCTCTGCTGCCCTTGGCCTTGGCCATCACTGGAACAAACTAAAGAGGAAAAAATCATCTGCATTCAGTTTTTTCATGCTTTTTATTCTGAGAAGTCTCAGGCTTTTGGAGTTTTCATTGTCCTAGGATGACCTATGAGGATCAGGAAGCTGGAGGAGGAGGAGTTACAGAGGAAGGAGAGGAACAGGAGTCAGTAGCCCCAGGCAGAGGGCTTGGCTAAGCACAAAGGGAAAACAACAGGTTTGAAACAGGTTTCCAAGTAAAAAACAGGAAGGGAGATCTTCCCCAATGGCCTTGACCTTCTCTATAGAGAAGATCGAAAAGTTGCCTGCTAAAAGGACACAGTGAAGCAACAGGGGATCAGGATTTAGAAGTCACTGGGAGGCATGAGAAAAGGAAAGTCAGGCATGGGAAAAGCAATACCAAGGACGGGGCTGCTGTGGCTGAGGCTGGAAATTAATTAGCATGGAGTTTTATTTTTTCGTTTGTTTTGTTTTTTAACATCAAGTCCTGTAACCAAAAACCCTGGGGCAGGAGGAAGGATGGCAGGCTAATCAAAGATGGAGTTGAAAACGATTCCCAAGGTAATGACCAGCCTGCATCTCCCCAAAGAAGGAGACTCAGCCTGTCATGTCCAGCTGAGTTATGACAAGTGACATCATGACACAGTGAAACATGCACAGGCTTTGAACTTGTACAGACCTAGGTTTCATGCCAGCCTGGCACTTTTTTCTGTGTGACTTGGTAAATTATGAAACCTTTCCAAATTTAGTTCCCAAATTTGTAGAACAAGGGTCTCACTACCTCACAGGGTTGTTGGGAGGATTAAGTCAAGTGACACTTGAGTAAAGCACCTGGCATGGTGCGTGGCACAGGGGAGGCAGTGAGAAATGTGAGTTCACTTCCTTCACTGCTTCCCCTGTATCATCAAATGACTTATAAGACATGAACAAGAGAAACTGGGAAAACATTAGGAAAGACCTAGCATTCATGGGTCACGGTTAAGGCCCATGTGACACTGATTCCTGACAACAAAAGCCCAGCAGCCACGCATGCCCTGGCACACACACACTCAGTCTTCTTGGCCTGCCTGTCCTCAGGCCTGCTCTTCTCCCTTACACAATTTTCTAGAATTTCACTGTCTTCTCACTCGTTTTGTTCCCGCCATCAATAAACCTGTCAAATGAGGATGCTGCTGTACCCGATTTTCACCACCTCACTCCCTGCATCCGCACTCCAGGTAGACAAGCTGCCGCTACCACCACCCCTGGGGTACCTCGCTCCCTCAGTGCTGTCCTCCTGGTCAAATCCTAGGCATGTTCTCTGTCTGCAAACCACTGGGCTCCCTCTTAAAGTGGTCCGTGCCCCACCTTACCTTCAGTGATTCTGCACTACCAGGTTTTTCTGATCTCTTTTACTCTTTTTCTGCCAACCTATCTATCCCTCCAGATACCTCAGAGGTACCATGAGAGAAGCACATTTGCAAAGGGGCTTGTACAAAAGATAGAAAGGACAAAGGGAAATGCACCTGCACACACAGCACCAGGAAGGGCAAACCCCAAACCAAAGGACAATGCTGAGGACAATGGAAAGACATTTTGTTAAAAGCTGTGTTCTCAATAAGGTCAAAGAAAGAATGGGCTCAATTCTACAGATGCTTCTGATAGATGCAAAGGACTTAGGATAACAGCCCCCAACCTTCTTACTATAAGCAAACTTTCAGGAATCATCAAAAATCATTAAAAAGTGATTTTTAAGAATTCTAATGTCACCTGATCCATTTTGTCTTTCTTTGGCTTCCTGTTGTCACAACGTCAAGAACTTCTATACCAGCATCTGAATTATAGGCTAAAAATGCTACACAAGCAGAAAGGCTAAGGGCACGTTCCGGTTACTCTCTACAGAAAAATCTTTCAAGAGTGTCTTTAGCCCTGGCTGGTATGGCTCCATGGATTGAGTGCCAGCCTGCAAACCAAAGGGTCACTGGTTCAATTCCCAGTCAGGGCATATGCCTGTGTTGTGGGCCAGGTCCCCATAGGGGGCATGTGAGAGACAGCCACACACTGATGTTTTTCTCCCTCTCTTTCTTCTTCCCTTCTCTGCTCTCTAAAAAATAAATAAATACAATCTCTTTTTTTTAAGAGTGTCTTTAGATACTAATATAGTATACTAGGCAGGGCAAAAATAGGTTTATAGTTGTAAGCACATGAAACACAATTTATTCTTTTATTATTACTTATTGTATTATTTTCCATACAAACAACTGTAAACCTACTTTCACCCCACCCTGTAGACACCTATGGTCATTTGGGTACTAACATGTCTAGCTCTACATTCATCCTAATGTCCTCTATCTTATCCAAGAGACTGCTCCAACCAGTGTTTCGGAAGCCTTGCTGGAGCAAGGACTGACCAGGCCTACCACTACAAGACACGCTCCCAGCCAAGCCAGTTGAGGTCAGTTTGATGTAACTCACTCTCAGTGGACACGGGTCTCTACTTTG